GACTTTACCTCCTCCCCTCTGCAGTACACATAGTTTTCTTTCCACAGTACGCTACCTACCCACAGTACGCTACGGAGTACACTGTCATCTGGGGAAAGAAGCCATATTAACACTTATTTTGAGTTAAACTGATGCTAATTTATCGCCCACCCTGTGCATACTGATTGGCCAGCTGGAGAGCAAGTCATGTTCACATTGCAGCGCTTCCATAAGCAATGTTATTGATTTAAATCTATCACCTCTGCCAGCCAATTTTTTCATTAAGCATGTAGAAACCTTTCAGCCAAATTTGGCAAAGATCAAGACTGGTCAACAGCTTCAAAAGTTAATAGGGAGAACACCAAATTGTTGGAAGAATAGGAGTGAATTGCATAAGCGGAATTTTCTTAAGGAATCAGGCTAAAAAGGAAGAAGAATTAAAAATATCGCCACATCTCATGGGTAGGTGAAAAACTTGTATCATAATAATCACCTGAAAAATTAAACAAAACATCATAGTATCTGCTGGTGAAATATGCAAGAAAGTTGTTCTCCCCAAATTTTCTGAAACTGTGCCCATATTAAACACCTTGCTTTTGCAAATGTTTAATGCATGTTGAAATTTTTAAAACGTCAAGAACCAATGCATTATGATCACCCAGAGCAGCCTAAATATTTTTAATAAGAAATAATGGAGAAATGGATTATAATACTGTGATACATAAAGAAAACTATACAGTTACTATATAGTATAGACAGAAAAAAATACAAGAAACCAAGGCAAGGTAGACAAGCAATTGTATTTAGACAGCTAGGCTTTAGCTAATTAATATCTACATCCTTTCATGTATAAGACACTACAAATGTGTGTTACAGATATACACACAGATATCATTCCCCTAGCCTAATGGCCACCCCTGTAAAACATCCATAAAATGTCCATTGAGTTCATTTAGTCCATGACTTTGGGCTCCATCTGGTTATGGTTGTGACTCAGGACCGTCTATTCCTGACTACTGGCCCCAGTATCCCAGCATTGGAGAAACCAGCTGATAATTTGCTCACCTGGATGATGGCTGGAATCTTTTTGCTTCTCACAGCTCACTTAGTGACCAGGTGGTTTCTTGACTTGTTTATGATTTCTGTCTCTTCCCCCTCCTGTTCTTGTGACTGCTTCGCTGCAGAACAGGCTGTCTCTTTCGATTCTCCCTCCTGCTCTCAGGAGAAGCTTCTTCCTCCCTTACTAAATGGGTTGACTTCTGCTTCCATTGTTTCTTCTTGACTACCGGGGCAACTGGTATAGTTGAGGGTTGGGTCTCTGGTTTAGCCGGGGCTGTTTGTATGTCTTCAGATCCAGAGACCTTCCTCTTCCCCTTGAGGGTGCTGAATAGCACTCGGTAGGCATATACCAGGCCCCCGCACAAGGCGATAAATTGTGCCTCTGGCATAGCCAAGGCATTCTTTTTTCAAACATTCTATCACTTCATCAAGATCCTGCACTTGTTCGGAGGTGAAGTCCCAGACCATCAGAAATGACAACCCTTCTAGGTAGCTGCCCATCCTCTCGCAAATGCCTTGCTGCCCATACCCATACTGCCTTGTGACATATCCCTATGTGATATTCCTAAACAGTTGGTAAACCTTAGGAAAAACTGGAAACATATTCTTGAAACATGCTCGTAGGAGTATTTTGGTTACCCAAGGATGTCCAAGATATTGAAGAGTTATTATAAAAAGGGAGAAAACATCTACTCCGCAGGAAAAGAAGGGGACAGTGCCATTCTTCATTCCTTCCACCGATTGGTTCTCGGAGGAGAAAAGGGAAAAAGTGTAATTGTTAATTGTCTTCATGAGATGGTTCCTGAAGTAAAGGGAAAGCAACAATGCAGGGCCCAAATACCAGATTAGGCTCAATGCCAATGTTTTTATCATAGTTCTCCCAGGCAAAACACAACCAATGCTACACTGCACAGCAAATGGCGAAAGTCAAATATAGACTTTAACAAGCTCTCAAATTTGATGTGCAGCAAAAAAAAGGAGAGTATGGCATTGATCAGATAAACCAATGCCGAGAACAAGTAAATCAACATAGCGACCAGCCACTGTTAAACAGATGATAACTATAAGTTCCCTCTAACATGCTGTGGTCAAATCTGTTATCTCAAACCCTTCAAGCCCCACACTGGGTGCCAAAAAGGACTGTTGTGGTTTAACTTCACACAGCCACTCGCTCACTGCCCTGCAGCAGAGTAGGGGAGGGAATCTGAAGAGTAAAAGTGAGAAAACTTGTGGGTTGAAATAAAGACAGTTTAATATGTAAAAAACCCAAACAAAACAAAGAAAAACAAAACCAAGAAAAACAAATGATGCAAAAAACCCCAATTCCTCACCATCAGCCAAGCAATGTCCAGCCAGTCCCCGAGCAACCGCTGCCCTGGCAAACTTTCTCCACAGTTTTTATTGCTGAGCACTACGTCACATGGTGTGGGATATCCCTCTGGTCAGTTGGGGTCAGCTGTCCCACCTGTGCCCCCTCCCAGCTTATTGCGTGCACCCCCAGCCTCCTCGCTGGCATGGCAGTGTGAGAAACAGAAAAGGCCTTGACTCTGTGTAAGCACTGCTCAGCAATAGCTAAAACATCCCTGTGTTATCAACTCTGTTTTCATCAAATCCAAAACATAGCACCATACTAGCTACTGTGAAGAAAATTAGCTCTATCCCAGCCAAACCAGTACAGAGCCCAAGTCTTTATAAATAAAGAATAACCCATATTAGATACCTGATTTGCATGTTGTGGAAGCAACAGCAGAAAAGGGAGGCTGGTACAGAATGAATTATTCAGGAGGTAAAACCCAGCAATTATAATCTTAGCATATCTAAACCCAAAACAATACATTAGAGGGTGTGTTCTCTCATATGAATGCATCATGTAAGATTATAAACAAAATGTCTGTAGACTTAGAGTTGAACACGTGCTAATCATTAATACTACCCTACGTAAACCTACATCAACTTTTGTCAACCACATTTCACTGTTTTTCATAGGCCAGCTTTCAGGAAGTAAGCAACACAGTTACACATATATTTAGCTGTATATAAATATACATAGATACATATTCAATTATGAAGACATACTACATTTATAGGTTGGTTAGCAGATACAACTGTGTCAAACTGACGTCTCAGTGCAAAAGGTATTGTACAACTGCAGGAACTGTCAGTTCTGCTCCCAAGGAAAGGGAAAGTTAGAAAAAGTGGGGTAATTACAAGAAGCCACCATAATGTACACAATTTCTATTAATATATTGATATAGAAATCTTCCTGAATGGCAAAACAACTTTGCAGGATATTTTCTCCTAATAATGAAATACCTTTTGAGACTAACTATATTGATACGTAACAAAGTATTCCTATATCCCTTTTCCACAAACGAACAAAAAAGTGAAAGCATATAGGGTGGAGGGGTAGAAAGGGGACTGTTGGACAGTCTCTTATCACAGCATTATGGGTTCACTGTCTAGAAGTATTTGTCGGGGGGGTTTCTTCCCTTTTTTTCTTTTAAGGAAAAGAATTTTAAAAAACAGGAATTTTGTTTCAGAAACATAATTGGAAAAAGCAGAGTTATCCAGCGTTTCACTACCAGGATGAGCTGTTTTGGAAAAATCTTTGATGAATAATGGCAACATATGAGTTTCATGCCACGCTACAGAAAATGACAGTAAAGCTTATGACATAAAGGAAAAGATGATTTCTACTGTCATTTGATGAAAAGTTTTGAAGACTTCCTAATACTAACTGTACTGGTGAGTAACAACCTTTAGTTACTGTAACATGCTACTTGAATCAAACATGATGGATCCAAAACTGATAACTAATAACCTAAATTCCCTTTATTGACAAGGAATATGAAACACACCCTAGAAGTGTCTGCATCTCATCTCACACTTAAGCTGCAAAAAGCCATTTTTTTTAATCAAGCTTTCATCTTTCCCCAGTCTCAGGGACAAATCTGAAATAAAAACCAGAGCACACAGTGAGAAAAGTAACTACTTTTTTCCTTTTAATATAGATGTAGTACAGAATGTTTAATTACAGCAGGACAATGCTTCCAGTTAAATAAAATTAAAACCCTTTATTTTCCCCAAATATAAAATTACTAAATTAATGTCTTAAAAGAATAAGAATATGGAAAAAGCTTTAAATTATACCACCATTTACCACAGTAACCATAATCACCAATTACATACTCCATTGCTTTGGCAAAAAAGTTTTTTTCTTTTCATAACTGCATATAAACCTAACATAGCAAAGACTGTATACATCTTTATATTGCACTTATTTATATACAGGAATAAATGAACTGTAAAGTCTGCATATACTTGGAATAAGCAAATTTTCACAATAAACTGAAAGCAGAAGGATAAGAGCTGGTATGAATATTAAAAAATGCTTAGAAATGTAATACATTTATGTACAGACTGTATGGACTGTATTAACAAACAATATGTACATAACAATTTACTACTATTGATATTTTAGTATAACTCAGTGTTCATTAATACAGACCTTTGGTTGTGTTTAGTTGTTTAATAAGATCTAAGCTCACATACCTCCAAAATACAACAAGGTATAAAATAAAGCACAACAAATTGCCAAATGGTACAAAAACTACTATTGTCAGTTCCATTAAACCCAAAAAACTAGTGTCTCTCTCTAGCCCCAAAATAGTTCTTGTACTTGGAATCAATCTCTATGTGCCATACACAAAAAGAACACCTGAATGTTACACATCTGCAAAATTACATCCCACAACACTTTTTTATAATGTGCAATTAATTTTAATAATACTTTCTAATGAAAAAGAGAAATTAACTTCAACTTTATAATTTTCCAACACGCACCTCTGCAACGACATTGTGAATACTTTTAGATGTTACCAGCAAGATTAGAAAAATATATGTGCGCCTCCCTTACTCTAAAAGACTATTACCAGTACTGCTATTTGCTAAGTGTGCTCGGACATTCGTATGAATTATGCAGCTTGCACGTGCCCAAAATTTAGCTTCAAAATCATCCTGAGTTTGCACACAATTAAGCAAATCCACATACTTTAAAAAGAACGAACATACTTTCCTTTACAAAACAATCATGCAACTGAAGAAGAACTGGGCATCCCATGAACCGTTGTGCTTGTCGGAGTTCCACTTATGGCATTGAAAATGTGTAGCGAATTAGGCATAACACTAGCCTTTTCTTCAACTGGAGTAATCTTAAAATGGAAAACATGTATTTATGAAAATGTTACAAAATGACACAAGCATTTATAAAACAGCTAACCAATTTCATAATGCGCTGCTTATCAACTCAATTTTTTTAGTACTTTCTCAATTGCACAGAACTTCTTTTTGGGGATGGTTACTCTTTTCAGCCATCCTCTACTAGATTTAGGAGGGCAGTAGCTATTTCTCCAACATCAGTTCTCCTAATTCAGGTATTACACTGTCCTCTCTAGAGGAAGCTTGAATAGCTTCTCTCATTTCTCTTGTTAACTTTCAAAAAGAGTTTCACAAGGACAACAGGCTTGCTTTTTGCCCTTTTTTTTTTTTTCTTTCTTTTTTTTTGACTTAGGGGTATGATTTGAGCATTTCTTATCAAAAGCTATCGAAGCACCAAAAAGACTTCATTCTTAACAGCTATAAATTTACTAATGCTAAGATTAGAAATATTGGAAAGAAAGGAATTATGTAAAGATTAGATAAACTAAGAGCAGAAGTAACAGAAACTAATTACCATCCCATCTGATCATATTGGCAAGCAGCAGAGGAGAAAAAAAGAAAAATCTGTTAAGATTCTTTTCTATATTTTTCATAACAAAATTTCTGCAATTGTTTAAAATCCACACTGTTACAAGACAGCTAATAGGTTTTTTTCAGTGACATTAGAACAAACATTGTGAGAAGCTCTTTTTCCAAATACAGCAGTAGGCAGGCACACAAAGTTTACATTTTTAAAGATTTCAGTGAAAAGCCTCATGATTCCAAGCCTTCAGGGGAGTGATCAATCTAATTTTTTTTAAAAAAACAACCCAAAAACATAGCATGTTTTAATTATTTACAACTAATTAAATTTATATAAAAAGAATACAGTGGTAGGCTAATAGTACACATTAATTCAGTCAGTCCTGTACTTTCATATTCTGTTCATACTATCTTATAGGTATCAGTTGTTTGCCCCTTCTTCTCTTTGTTTACTTTTAGACAATGTGATTTACTTTTGAAGTTTCAGGCATTACATGCTTTTTCTTATCAATCTTTGGAAACTCACACACCTGAGCATTTTTTAGACATATATATTTTGCATTAATTACTTTAATGAATTAATTCAAAGTATTTTTTCTTGTGTACAAACTGTCATTATATCCTTTTAGTTTTTCCTATGCCAGGGGAATATTAATCTTTCATTTATTATTCTTATCATTAAATTATTTGACCAAAACATTTTCCTCTCTTTTCTGAAGGGGTCTTCTGTACAGCTGTCTAATTCTCCCATATACCTCGTTCATCTTAATCAGCTGTCCAATCAGTCCTTTCTGAAACCCTCCACTGCTTTCTGCTGTTCAATACATCACATTGAAATGCAGTCAAACTGTCTCATTTTTGTCAGCTAAGTAATCTCTTTTCCTGTTCCAGGGATCTTTCAAAACTGTTTTCCTCTACACACGTCTGAAAGACACTGGGTTTTTTAAAAAAAAAAACAACACATGGATTCTGATAAAGTGGCATCACTCCCTACAAACCTTGTTTTGCAATATTCTCTGACACTGGTGTTTAAAAAGAGTTAGTTTTGTGATAAGCTTTTCCCTGTGATAGTATAACAAAAGAATAAGAGAATGAAAATAAAGCCTATGCGCTTGCTATATTCTTGTGCTTCACCATATTATTTCATATTATATCATAGCACAGAGCTACTCATAGCACAATACCCGAGAAAACCACATCAGGAAATAAAGGAGAGCAAGAAAGCATGTGAAGTGAACTTTAGACACTTGACACATTTTTGAACAGAAAAAAATCTCCATAAAAGTTTTGATACCATCTAAGCAAGGGTAGAATAAAGGCAAATCTTTCCTAGATAAGCCTACGGATAAGCTGTTATACCAGCAAACTGATTAGCTTTTTTAGCAAGTATTTCTTGGATAATAATAGAGTAATTTAGAGATGTCAAAAAATAGTAAATGGGTAAAGTCATTGTACATCTAAAGGACGCAATCCTGAAAAAAAGCTGCAAGATTAACAGCACGTTTAAAATGTCAGCTAGACTGAACGCCTCGGGTAGGTCTCAAGTTTGATTTTTCCTGTACAATTCGATTTCTGAGTAAAGCCTACAGTTTCTGTGCAGACAAGAGAAACTCAGAGCTCCTCTTTGTATCAATTGATTATCCAGACTAGGATGCATTGGTTCCTAAACTAAGAAACGTTGCTATTATGGTCATACATCTAAGAAAGTCTCATAGACATGTATATTTGTAAGGTAAAATATTATCAGAAAACACAGGTATTTCTTGTGGGCCAGAAATACAAGTCTTGAGGGTTAAGAACTATGAGCCAGTCTATGTCTCTGGGAAAAGATTATACAAGTAACAGTGGATGAAGGAAAAGGAACCTGAAGTGATGAATATGATAAATAAAAATGTCAAGAAGGCAGGGATCAAGCATGAATCTTCAGCCCTTCCTGTCCTCCTGGAAATAATATCCTTGCCTCTGAAGTCAGGAGACAGGGGGAGAAGAAACAATACTTTTATGTAAAGCGTTACATACACTTTTCCTAGGGGAAATTACATTACAGCTACATTCTGAACGCTGGTATGTATAATTTAATTTCAGCACATACTTGTTCATGCATTATTTCAGAAAGCTCTTTTGCCATTTCTCTGTAGTTGGCCTTCATTTCTTCTTGATATTCCAACTGATCTTCCTTTATAAGTCGTTCATTTACACCCAGAGCATGCCCACAAGCTTCAACAAATTGCCTGATTTAGATAAAATAATAAAAAAAGATCTCAATCAGGAATACAAGATCCAAATGATTAATTCAAAATGCCAACTTAAAGCATGTTTTTAATGCAGTCAGAACACTATAAAAGTTAAAAGTTTTAAAAAAAATTCTTATGATACCATTCTTGAAAAAAAGTCAATCCCCCCCCCCCCCCAAAAAAAAAAAAAACGTACCTAAAAACTTCCTTTAGCAGCTTTACTTTATTGTCTGGATATCTTTTGGTGTTTGTGTCATCTAAGAAAGCTCTTGCATATGCTAACGGACCAGCATTAACCTAAAAAGAACAAGAATTACAAAATAAAGTCAGTTCTCAGACATATTGTCTTAGCAATAACAGATACTACAGGTGTCTGTCTGATCTGCTTTTCTTAGGAGAACACACTGATTTCAAAAAAGCTGCACTTATGAAATAAGATGACTGCTGGAGTTGGAACATAAAAGCAGGAGAGTTCTCTACAGCACTCTGTATGAACCTGTCCTGGCACAAAGAAACCACTTCGATGATGTGGCAAAGTAACTGCTGATAGTGCCAATTTGTCATCTCTGCTTATGAAATTAGGGTAGGAAAATGAGCTAAATCTACTACTGTTTGGTCTGCTTATCTATTGAAAATATTCTTCCAAGATGAAAATTCTGCAATAATTAGCAGAAACTTAATTGTCCTATTATGTCACCTACACGAAAAGTGGATTCAACGATTTCTGACTCATCCCTATTATTCTTTTATATTAGCAGTAGGAGCCCCTGACTTCTTATCCCAAATGCTAGTTTGACAACTTCCTGATTCTGGAACCTTGGTTTGTTGTTTGTTTTTTTTTTTTAATTTTCTCTTCAACAACATGACAACAGTTCATTTCAGATAACTGTGTTTACTGTTCCTTTGATTTGAATCAGTTAAAAGTAATAGAGCAGCACTTTTGTCATTGCATTCTTAAGACCCTTACCATATTGATGTGTACATGCTATAACTGCTTTATGTACCCTATTTTGGTGATTCTGATGGTTTCTTTATACATTCAGTTCTTGCTTGCCTTAGGCAAAATAAAATGTTGCACAGTGAGATTTTCTATTACCCTCCTCCTATATTTTCGCACTCCATCTCCATAGGGATCTGACCAAAATATAAAAGCAATAAAGACCATGTTGAACCTACTGTGAGCAGACCTACATCCAGGCAAGATATGTTCATTCATCCTCATATGGGAAGTCACTATTTTATGGTAGCTTCAGCTTTACACCAAAACCTGATGGGGCTCAGACCACCAAAGATTCCAGAGATGAATCTTAATCCTTTCATATAACTGTCCATGATCAGTGTTTATATGAAATAATTCTATTGCTTTTCCTATTCTGGAAATAACCGCAAACAGTAAGCATATTTCTAATTTAGGACATTCTTGAATATACAGAATAGAAACTAATGATAAAATGCTACTTATATAATTTTTCAGGGACAGAAGTAAGCAAAATAGCTGAATGGCAAAGTATACGCTCTTACCTGAACACTGACACTTCCTTGTAGCTTCAGCTGCAATTTGATCATATCTACTTCAGCTGAAGAGCAAAGCTGCCTAAGTTCTGCAACTTTTTTACTCATTTCATCAATGGCTACTTCAATTGGGTTTAAATCAGTATGGTGCTGGTACATTACTGGAATGCGCTTTTTCACATATGGGAAACAATGTATAGCTATGGATGGAAACAAGTTTAATATAGTTAGAAAAAGGTTTTTGAATAAGGTGTGTTTGGATAGAATTTTATGTTAAAATCTCATTTTGATGTAACTAGTTGCCCAACTTCATATGAGAACCATAAAAAGAATTGCGTATCATTCACATATCTCAAAGAGGAGAAGAATCAAAACCAGCAGAGCTGTATTTTCTATTTCCTTACAAGTATTAGCTATGGACAGCTGACATCTTAAAGTCATTTATTTAAGTTGCTTTTACCACTGTATTAAGACAGTGATACAGAAGCTCACACTTAACAGAGACAAAACACAAAATAGTCTTTTTCTAAGAAAAAGGAAAGCTAGACTCCAGACTCAAAATTCTTGAAGCTTAAGGAAAAAAACCAAAAAAATTATTTGAGGATTATCCCTTGAATAAACCAATCTGAAAACCTAGTTTTGGCTAAAAATATGAAAAGTATTTTAGCTGATAGCTATAAAGGACTTGAATTAATGCTTCCAGTCAAAACGCAACTTGTTATTTCACAAATTCAGATTTACATGTTATACAGAAACATCACCAAGCACACCGTAACTTTTAATTATCTCCCTTAAAAGTATAACAAAATGTTTTGTATCACTGAACTAAATATCTCTAAAGTTTGAGCCTATGGGGAGATAGATGGCCGCTCTCTCTCCCTTCTGAAGCTAACAAAGGAAAAACTAAAGCTCAGGGATTAGTCCAAAGTCACAATTGAACAGAGGCTGGAAACCAAACCAGAATCTGCCTTCAGTCTCTTTTAGCTGCTTTTAGACAAAAGAACCAATGCTGCATTCAACAGGTCCACAGACGGAAAGAATGCTGAAAAACCCCATACCCAAACCAGCAAGCATAATACCACCGTCCTTCAATGTTTTATAGCAAAGAGAGGTGGGCGCAGGCAATAGCAAAGGGAGAGATGCAGACATTCCATTATTAAAAAAAAAAAAAACAAAATTATTTAAAAGTGAAGGGTAGTTAGAGATTTTTACTCTCTTTTTCCAATGCTTAGGGGTTAAGAAATCACACAATGATATACGTATTCTCAGATGGTCATTTCTAAGTTATCGCATATCATTTATTTTCAAGTATGTACTAATTTTGAAAGGTTATTTTGTCTAACAGTACTTTGGTATACTTTGCAATTCTTGTCACCTCCAACAGTCGTGTATGAAATCTTCTAAAGGATTTTTTCTGACAAAATACACAACATACAGAAAAACCTAGTATCAAGAATTAAGTATAAAAAACAAAATAAAAGAGCAGCTTTCTTTTAAAGGAAATTTCCATTCAATCAGTACCTGTCAAAATAGTCCGTCGCTTACACTGTTCTTCTACTCCTCCTTGTCTTTTACCAGCTTGAGTAAAAGGCATCTCAAACATAAAGCGACGAATGTTATGAGTCCTTTCAAAATCTGTTTTTCTTTCTTGCAACTCTTTTTCTTCAAAGTATGGAATTACATGTGTAACTTGAATATATGCATATTTTGAATCTAAATCCTTAGGATTTACCTTAAAAACATGACCAAAAAAAAAAATCAAATAGCTACACTGTGAATAAAGTGGATTTATTTGTGGTCACACAACTTTCAGAAATTAAATTTGATCTCTTAACCTGTAAATTACTGAAACCACAGGAAACGTTAATGTCCTCACGGGGCTTCTTTGCATTCAGTTTCTAACTATTAGGAAGACAACACAGCTAGATGCATTACAACACGTTGGGGGTTTTTTTTGTTTTGTTGTTCGTTTGGTTTTGTTTGGTTTTTTGTTTTTTGTTTTGTTTGTTTTTAAGCACTCATTATCCATAATTGCTGTATGCAGAACTGCAAACAAAAACATAATACAGAATTATACCCATGATTAACGCTGGAAGGCACAAATTCAGAAAACCCAGAAACAAATACTTGTCCTCCATGACAACTGATACAACAGTAGATTGGAGACCAAAAGTTGCTAGTGATAAAAAAATTTAATAATTAAAAATAAACCCCAACATTGTAAATAGTTCACATATCACCTTCAGAAGGGCACTCCTTCCAACCTGTCTCAACTCTGGCACTCTATGAGGGTACCAAAGAACATACTGGTGGGAGCAAGGCAAATTGAAGGCTTCACTATTTAGTTCATTTTGTTTCTAGAACTGGATGAGTAAGAGCCTCATGGACTGGTAATTTGGTAAAAGCAGCAACTAGTCTCCAATAGATGAGACCTCCTAGGTCTTTGCCCAACAGGGTCCCTAAATGGACCAAGGAATTTTTTCTTTTTTTTTTTTAAATTCCCCCAACCACGGGATAAAGAGGCCACCCTAAACCTGTGCATCTTTGTAAAAGTTGTTGCCTACCATTTTAGTCCCACGTCAAATATTCATATTATCTCTGCCTGACTGCACCATTTCACGTCTATAAACTAAGTGGGAAAAACAACAATGCAAATACACACACGGGAGTCACCAGGTAAGTCCTGGAGCAAACTGGGAACAGAGCTAAGGTCTCCCTGCTCCCTGCTATTGGAACATGCTGCTTGATTAATTTTTTTTTTTAAATCTGCAATGTTTTCAAGATTATTGGACTGGAACTTAAGTGGTAATTTATGTACTCATTCTGATACAGCTGACAGAAAATGTTCCCTACAAATGCTGACAAACACATGCATTATAATTCATTGTAAAGAATTCAGGAGAGTATACTGGAAGTACTGTGAAAAACTGAGATTACAATATAAATCTCTCGCCTCCCATGGCATGAAATCTAGCCCTTGCATAAGTCCTCCTCTCCTTTTAAAGTTCCAATATTGAAAAGCCCACCATTGATGCACTTTCAAGACGAGAAGCACAGAAATTTGTGATCTTACTGGTAGAATAAAGGAACAGAAGAGACAGGAAATTATTATAAGAGAAAATCACCATAAAGTCTGAATCCAAACAAAAGCTAAAAATTGGTTGAGGAAGGGAACAAAAGGAATGCAGAGAGGCATCTTGTGCAGTATGTGTTCTTCTCAGCGTATCTTTAGTTCACCAGTTTTGGAGCCTTCAATTACAAAGGAAAGCATTTCCTATGACAAATCTAGACTTAACCAGGTGACTTTGTGTGAGCATTTTTTTCTACAGTTTAAGCGTTTATAAAATTGAACAGGGTCAGAGACATAAGCAAAGGATAACAAGAACAACTGATACAGAGTTAAAATGTTGTTTACATTTACATTCTTTTCTCAGAAGAGGGGTCCGTTTCTTACTTCAGAAGAAAGTTTGGACTCTGCTCTTGAGGTGCAGAAAAGGAAAAAACTTCTGAAGAATAACTGTACATGAACTGGCAAGAAATATAGCTAAAGGTAACACAAGATATGATCATAATTCAAATTTGTTTTAAGATACAATTTTTATTTTGGGAGGTAACACTATGGAAATTAAGCTTTTTGGTTGTTCTTAAAGGTAAACTTAATAGGAGATGATATTTCTTTCATGCCCTTCAACCAGTAGAGTTTTTGGACACATATGTTTGTGTACCAACTGAGTAACAGACAGTGATCCCACAGTATTTCAAGTGGATTAATGGAAGAAATATATTAGAATTTTTTAGAGACAATAAAGATCATACTTTGCCAGAATCCTGAATCATTTTGACATTTTCAGATCCAAATTTGTCAGAGTAGAGTTTTTGGAGTCTTTGGGAAATTTCTGAGAGAGGCGTGAGTTTAGGCTCTTTATAGATATATTCCTTTCCATCTTCATCCTCAAAGAATCCCTGTAAAAAATGAAATAATGAAAATCTTGGGAAAAAAATACATAGGGCAATGATTAAGATGAACATAATGTGTGTGGTTCAAAGCAAATATAAACATTTAACATAAGGATTCAAGCAAACGTAAACATAGAGAAATTAAAATCTAAGTAGAAAAGGTTTCCTCAGAGAATAAAAAAAAGAAAAATGTAATTATCTACTACAGAATGAGTGAAAGATAATGGAAACATACAGTTAAAATTTTAAAGGTTTATTGTAATTTTACGGTGTGCCAAGCCTTTGAGATAACTTTTCTTCACTTTTATTTAAAAGTGAAATTTCAGCACTGTTTCACTTGCCAAAACAGGAATCTTGTTGCCCAACAGGACCATCTCACACGTGAGTATTTTGGCAATGGTTTACATAAAAATAATATGAAAAATTTCTTTACGTAGTAATAAAAAATTAATTCCAGAAATTTAAATTTAGTTTATGTGAAAATCTTAATTTTATGTTGTACTAAATTGCCATATACTTCTTTATTTTTATTACATAAAGTATTTGTTTTAAAACCATAACTAAATGCAACATAGAGTATATGGAAAGTGAAACAGGTCATTGGCTTAAAACAACAAGCCATCTCTGAGTTCATGTTTGAAACCAGAAAATAAATATTTTTGTCATAAATGAAACAGACAAAATAGAAAAGCACAACATATCATGTATAAACACAGGCTAGATTGACAAAAATACCCACATCAAACTAAGGTGAAATGCAGTAGTTTTTACTGCATCGCTTGCTTTGTAAGCGGTTTCTGTAATTACCTCAACATCTGTTTCACTGTCTGTAAACTGGTATTGCTACAAAGTTATAAAAGACAACAGAATACATGTAAAGTTATACTGCTCAGAGTATTTTACAATTCTCCATGCTCAGCTGAACAATTAGCAACTGGGCTATGCATGTAGAAAGTGTATTACTTGATACTGCATGATACCATACTGATACATATGCATTCTAGACATAGAGGATGTGAAGCTGTCCAATACACAGCCAGAACTTTTGTTTGAAGCATGCAATACTAATGCATAGAAAAGAGTGATTTGTTCTCTAAATGGAACTTAATGTTATTTTTTAAATTGCAATGGCTATTAATGCATACCAATCTAAGAAGCAGCCTTGCAAAACACACTGCAGCACTACAGACATTAAGTCAATACATTGCTAAGAACTGACATTACAGAAAACTTACCGCTGCCTTAAGGTAGTAAATAAAAGAAGAAAAAGAAAAAAAAGCAAAAAATTTACTGAGGAAAATAAGGAAGAACTGTATCGGAATTGATAAATGTTTTCAACTAAATTATTGATGGTGTTTATTTCTTACAGACCATATTTCTTGTGCTTTTTATGTCATGGTATATAGATGATGAAACAGTATACCTTGTAAAATAAAATCAGGTTTTTCTTACTGCATAGAGCAGACAAATGAAAATTAATAATAATCACCTGTCCAAAGAACGCTACCCTGAAATAAGTTCCCAGCAGTCTCTTGCCTGTATGCATAACTTCTGTTACTTTACTGTATGCTCGATGAAGAGTGTCATATAAATGAGCAAGCCTCTAAAAATAAAAGAAAACAATCATGAGGTAAAAGAATAACATAGAACTTTACTATCTTAAAACAACAATGAATGATGTCCTTGTAGTTAATAAATAAAAACATTGTTTCATTGAACAGTAGTAATAGGTGTAGCACTTGTATCAGAATGACAATATGCAAGATTAATTTTTAATTATTTGTATTTAAAGAAAAACATTTTTAATTATTTAAAATTAAGACAAAGATTTCAGTACATTGCTATTTCAGTTGCAATTGTAATACTCTTGTTCTGTGAAGTGCAATGTGTCATGCAGTTAGACTAGAAAAATCAGGATTTTTTTTTCTTCTTCAAATTTATTTATGATGAATTTAGTACCTCAAAATCTCTCCGTTTTTCATAAATGGGAATTATAAGTTTATATATGTCAGCAATGAGTTCATAGCGTTCGGCCTTCCAGAGTCCATCAGCACACTGCTCCAACAATTCCATCAGCACATCCTAGATTTGGATACACATTTGAAAAAGTAAAACAATTCAGTACTCATTAAAAGCACGGCAAATAATTATACCAAAGTTCTTCCCAATGAAAAGGGAGATCCTGCCTCAAAACAAAGTTATCTACAACATAGTAATTTAAATTATTGTGGCAATCAAAAAATTGCTAAAAGGAAAGAAACCAAAACAGAATGGTCTGAGTGTACACATGCACTCTTTGTATTTACCAGGAACAGCATTTTTCTTTTAGATACTCCAGACCTCTTAAGTCTACAAATGACACCTGTATGAGAACCCAAACTTGTCTTACCTTGTAACATGTTTTTTCAAAATGTTGTTCCTTGGGGTTTTTTGGTTTTGCACAACGAATATTATTTTAAAAAGGCAGCTATACAAACACTTGACTGTAATGATTTTGAAGGAAACTATCAAACAAGTTACATCAACAATAAAACAAAAAGATACAATACCAAAATCTGTACTCAGAAATAATTATCAAGGTACAACAGCAGTATTTGGTATACTTGGCCCAGAATGAAAACACAGTTTTCATAACTGTGACAACAGTTAGAGAAGCTGAGAAATCCTGAAGGATCAAAACAGAGTCACAAGCAAGAAAACACCTCGGCTTTGTTGGATTTGGTCCTAATATCCCTGTACCAAAAAGATAGTTATTTAAGGTTGAATAAGAACTATGCTTACCTGTATGTTAGAACGGAAGCATACATTTTGCATTAGAGCACTTGCATCATAATTATAAAGTCCCTTCCTTCAGCTGGTCATAATTCATTATTTTCCATGCACTTAATTTCTTCTACTTCAATAAGCATTACAAAACTAAGATAACATTATTACTCTGCTCTAGTTTTCATAAATTTAAAATTATCTGGCTAACTCCATTAACTCAGTTACAACAAACAATTTTACAGATTTTATGGAACACCTTACAGCTCCTGTGACAAAGCTGTCATATACTTGGTCCCGGCTTGAGTGTGACAGAACCACGGTGAAGAAGCCTATTCGCATCCACATACCCTAACAGATCTCAGTCCTCTTCAAACATGTCTGGACCTCCAAGAACCTCCACGAGAATCCAAGCCTGAGACTGAGAGGTGTCAGAAGATGTGACATTTCTACTTCTTGAGACCTTCTGGTACCACTCTTACATTGTAGTGGTGAAGCCAGAAGCTGGAAATAACTCCTTTTATCCTTAGAAGGGATCCAATACTACTTTATTCCCCTCCTCCCTTTGGTAGAGACTAAGACAGCATAAAGACATCACTAAGAAAAGCCAACTTTAACACTGAGAGCAAAAAAAGACTGAAAAATGCTACTCTTATCCATGTGCTGCAACGGTCCCTAAAACATCTCCTTTCCCCAATTGTTATGGGGTTGTATAGACTCCCGATATCTCCATCCTCAGCAACGAGGTGGTGAGAACTGAAAGAGCACTGCTGGACCATAAGAGCTGTCCACAAACACTGTTTTATGACAGGAGTCTTAATTCAGACACCAGAGGGCATCCAAATGCAGCAAAGCTGTAAAATTTTGTTTGCACACAGGAAAAAATATAAAGAGCAAAAGCTTCATGTGGGAGAGCTGTTAGGAGGAGGAAAAGAACACAACATTTCTGGGCCACCTGTCTCAGTGCTTATCCATCCTCATAGGAAGAAGTTTTTTTCCATATATCCAAACAGAGTTTCCCTTGTAACCTGTGAGAACAGCCTCCTACTCTTTTATGGCACACCTCTTATTCTTCCACCTGATTCTTCCACTAACCACCTTAGGAGCTGGACTTTTTCCAGTTTGTTGATATCTCTCTTGACTTTGGGGGGAGCAGTGCTGGCCACAAGATTACAGATGGGGCACTACAAATACCAAGTAGAAGGGGGAAAACCCACTTCCCTCCACTTCTTGACTTTAGGCTCTTTCTAATACAACCCAGCATGCAGTTGACCTTTGTTGCCACAAGGCTACACTGCTGTTCCCGTTCAACCTCTTCTCCACTAGAACTCCCAGGTCTTTCTGCAGAGCTACTGCCCAGCCAGTCCGTCCCCAGCCCGCACTGAGACACTGGGTGATTTTTTCGCAGATGCGAGGCTTTGCGCTTGTTTTTGTAGAACTTTGAGAGGCTTCTGTGTTCCTTCAGTTTGAGGTCCCCCTAAATGGCAGCCCTGCCCCCCTGGTATATCAGTCACTCCCCCTCCATTTAGTTTCATCCACAAACTTGATGATGCACTGACTGTATCCCATGACCTAGCTTGCTAATTAAGATGTTTTAACAGTATCAGCCTGAGTATCCCTGAAGAATACTAGCCTTCACCACCATACTTAAAGTGTCTTGTATGTTTGCGTAAGTACCTAGTTCTGTTTTTCATAAAGTGCTTTAATATATTGAATTACACTGCATGTTGATCACTTAACAAGAGCTATAATACCATCTGAGCTGTGAAGCTCTTTCATTTACCAATCTGGAAGTTAGAATAGTTTTAGAATAATTCCTCTCATGGAAAATCTTAGCTAACAAGAGACCAGAAAAAACAAATAGGAAGGTAGAGATTAACTTAATCTGTGGTCAAGCCGTATTCTGGCAGAGTTTATTTTGGAAAAAAACAACAAATCTCAATGAAATTTAATCTGCATGGAATCTGGCAGCTGCCACCTGTCACCTGTTAGCCATAGCTCAGATACCTCACAGATGGACTGCTTACAGCAAAGTCTAGCATGGAAAGGATATCAGGTTCCAGGCTTTTACCTTCCTATTTCTGATGCCCAGAAGATTTTTAGTTCTGCGAGGAGAATTTGACTTGTGCTGCTGAATAGGCTGTCTGGGTAAACAACTGTTTTAATGAAACGCGCACAGTAACTTTGTTAAAAAACAAAACAAAACAAAATTTTGTTTTTTCAACTGGCTAGGTTTAGGAAATAAGTCAGGGTAACCCTGACCTGAGAGAGAATTCTTTTAAAATAAGAATTAAATTGAGAATTTTAAAAATTTCAATTTTTTAAATGAGAAATTACTTAAAGTCTTAAGACAAATTTCACTTAATTAGGAAGACTTTATATAAACTGGAGAATATAAAAGACATTTTGCCCCTTTTAGAAACATGGAGGGATCCCTCCTGACCCCCCATATACTTGTAATTACTCTTTTGGAGATTTAACTCTAAAGTAACTAGCATCCAAGGAAATCCCAAGTTTTAAGAAAGAAATTCCACATGACTCTTGTTACCACGTACAGGAAGAATTCCCATCAGAGCATCATTTTGCTCAGCAGTAGCAGTAAAGTACGGCTTGAAAAATACATTTCTGCTTTCTGATTTCTGTATCCAATTGATCTGTCATATGATTTTTTCTTAGACTAATACAGTTTTGCTTACATAAGAACATACTGAGGAAACACTCCATATATTAATATGTTCCTATTCATGAAGGAACTAGACTACCTGTTTTGAAGTACCTCTGTAAAATACTAGTCATCTTAATTTATCCATGATTTTTAGTCTACTAAATACCAAACAGTTCTTCCCTACTATTACTCTTCCTGGGGTGAACTATAAGAAGTTATCTGAAAAATAGTAACTTTTTTCAATATTTAGTCAGTTAGAGTACTCAATGGTTAAGTTTAAAACGGGTTGAAAAATGAAATTTGGCAAGGTTTGATCCTTTTGCAAGCTCCACAGGCTTATAATTTCACTCTTGGCTTACTTCTGTTCCACGGAAATACTGAGAGATGGAAATAAATTTGCGTAGGGTTCAATGACCCAGAAAAAGCAGTATATTCTTTTTGCAGGGACTGACTAATGAGAAAAAGAATAAAGACATTCCAATTTAAAAAATACAAAAGAATTTAGCTCTGACAAATGGTTTGTCAGGTAGACACTGACAAGAATTTCTAACAAAAGTTTCCATCAGCAGTAGTCACTAGAAACCCAACTCTTGGCTCACTTAGAGCAGCTTACATTTTGCATTGAGTAACATGCTAAATTCCATGCTGGATCAGAAGAATCAGTGATTTAAAGAATACGGCACATAAATTCAAGAAAAGCAATCTCCTATTGGGTGTCTTTGGAAAGAAAAAGCACTGTATTTCTCATTTCAAGTAATTCCAACTCCTACCTTCCCAGAAAAAGGCAAGTCAACCATTTTTGTCCTAAAACTATAGGGCAAAGCAGTACCAGAGCTTAGGAGTGAAACACAGGTACCCTAGGCCCAAACCCAGGCTTAAACCACTAAGCCTTTCATCTGTTCCTTCTAAATCTGTTAGTATAGCCACAATTCGCACAGTTAAATACTTTTGTCATACACCTTCACCATATACAAACTAAAACACAAAAGAAAAATATTTTTTGTTGTACAGTTATGCTTACACACCAGGGATTTTTCCAACACAGCTACTGCAAGTAGTGGTCTGTCCCTCCCTCCCCCACCTATACTGGCAAATACATAGTGTAGACGTAGCTCTTCATGAGCAAGTTTATTCATAATCTTTTCATATAGGCTTCTTAATAGTAAAATTTACTGTAGAGCCAGCACAGATGGATCAGTGAAGACACAAGGAGTGAAACTTAAGCCAGGAAAAAAAAAATTGACGCAAGTCTGGTGTCAGTAAAACCACTTTCATTGTTACAGCATATTTGCTTAGGGAAACTATAAAACAGCAAAATCCAGTGAATACATTTTCATGATTGCTGGTGCAGTAACAATCTAAATCAAAGTCAGTTTTAAAAAAAAAAAACAGATCTTTTTAACGCTAATAAATAAGCCACATCAGTGTTCATCCCGTCAACTAGCTTAAAAATCCCTTTTGCTTACTTTTATTCCAATAGTGGTGTTGAGTTGATGTGCTAGTGCTTTATTTAAAATATATGTATATACTAAATTCTCTAAAGCTGCGACAGCTCGTAGAAATTTTTATTTTAGTTTTAGGATAAGAAGAGCAGCTAAGAAAACAATTATAATGTCCATCATATTAGTCAGCCTCTGGATTGAAACACAAAACTTGGAAAAACAAACAGCACTTCAATGTGCATCAATTCTAACACTCTTATGTTTACTTACTTCATTGAAGTGAACGTCTTGCATTCCAACATCCTCCATCATTGAAGCCTCTTCATCTATATTGGGTGTGATTACTCTGAAAGCAGTACAACCTTGCCTGAACATCCCTGCCATTGAAAAAGAAAAATAGACAAATTTACTTTTCTCCATCAGGATAATGTTAGGCCATTTTGTGATGCTGGATAAAGCAGAAGCCATATTTAAATATACTTAACACCAAATTAGTAAAAAAAAAAAAAATCCAGCCTCCCACTGCATGATTAAAATACTAGACCTCACATTACTGTGTAAGTATAAATAGGTTTTAAAAACCCACAAATGTTAATATCCGGACTCTTACCTACCAAAATAGGTAGTGTCTGAATCTTCCTATTTTATCTTAAACCTGTGACTAATCTACCCCACCCTAAGTCTAAGGTAATCAAGGTAACTTTTACAGTATTTAATTAAACTGGTGTGAAGTCATGCTGGAACTGTGTACACGAACAGGCCCTGGCATATTGGCTTCCCCAGTCTGAACAATATGAATGGACTGACATCAACCATACAAAATGATCAAAGGATGGCAAACCAGATTATTCAGCTGTAGATACAGAAAGTCAGTCTACAGGCAAGAAAAAAACCCCAGCAATCTAACTTCCTTTACTGAAATAAGTATTTAGCAAAAATGGGTTTTAGAATGTTCTAACATGAAACCTACCTCTTTTACCCATTCTGTTTAGCTCTTTTTTATTATATCAGATTGCTGAATTACGAAATAGAGATTTTTGGCCAAAAACTGTATTAATTAAAGCCTGAAGAGCAATCAGTAAACGCTACAGAAGCACAGGGACTTTCACATACTTATTGCACAGCTCATTCCTACAAAAATTCTTTCTGCTCAGGCAGGAGCCTGACCACCAGAGGTTTTACAGAATGATTGCCTCAAATGCATGGTTTTGGTTTGCTCCTGGAAATACCACAGGTAGAAGTTCGACCCTCTATATTACTGAGAGGAAATAACTTTTATATGACAGTAGACAAAAACAGCAGATCACCCAAAGAAATCACAAATTAATACAGATTATCACTAGTTATCAGTTAGTTGTTATCAGGCTTCCAAGAGGACATAGTAACTTTGACAAGCAACTTAGTTTCAGATTTGGTCTCAGAGAAGCTTCTGAAATCATTGGGTTAGCGGGGATAGCCTATACACTACAAAGGTATCTGGCAAGAGGCACAGAAGGAATAGAAAAAAGGCATCTTGTAGACCCATGACTTTGCTTCATTTTGAACTGTCATGCAAAGGCAAAGCTAAAAAGCTGTGAACATGAATTTCTCTGCCTACAGAAACAAAACACTAGTTCAACATCATAATCAGTCTTAACAGATTTCTGAAATTTTCTTCTAGAGATCTATTTTTCTTAACAAAAAGCCATATAATCTTTTATTTTCTCAAATCCCTGACTGAGAAGTCTTCTGATGCTATAGATGAAAGAGAGTTTTCTGCCCTATCTCAAGGATCATAGAAACCCGCTTTTACAGACAGCTGCTAGCACAGAACACCAAGACAGGTGAAGCATCCTGAGCACTATTATTAACTGACTCAGCATCTGAAAATTTGTATGAATTTATTTTGACTTCTCTGGCAATGCCAAGTTTTCCTATATGCAGTAAAAGACTACTTGTGAACAAGAATATTCTCTGATAAGTTTGCTTTAGAAAGGGTCTGACTTCAGCTATTAGCAACTCTGGCGTAAAATTAAAATTTTTTACTTTCCTAAAAATTTTATTTCACCTTCATCTGAAATGCTGCCCCTTAGATATGCAAGCATACTCTTAAATATGTGAGTATGCTACCTGGTTAGGTCAGAATTTTCTCCTTGGTGAACACAGAAATGCCTACAACCTCCTCAGGGAAACTATTGCTTTTCTTAAACTATAATGAAAAATACAAACATTAAAGTAAGATTTCAAAATCATACCTTTTCGTGTGAGATATTCTGCAACCAGTGCTGCTACATGGACATAGCACATTGCCGCCTAAAACAGAAATAGTAACAATCTTATAAGTTACATTTATAATGGAACTACTGAAAACAAGGTATGTAAGAAGAGCTCTAGACTGAGAAAATTTCTTTAGTTTTCGTTTTTGCTGCTTTGCAGGAGATGTCCCATGACTGGTGTAAGAATTCTCCACCTCATTTATGCAAAACAATAACTGTGCAAGAGCACTCACTCCTTCTTTTCCAGAGCACTGAGTAGCATGGCCAGTAATACACAATCTGAGAGTGACCACGGATCGCAAATTACAAGGTAGGAACGCCATGCTATAATAAAAACAAGCAAATCTCTTTTTGGGATGTATTTTAAGTGTTATGTGAAACAATGAGCTATTAATTATTCTACTCAACATTTGATGGTTCTTCTGCTAACCCATTTTGTCCGCCTTTTGGCTCCAGACCAAGAAAAAATGTAAAAAAAAAAAAAAAAATGGTGACAGACCATTTGAAAGCAACAAAAGAAAAAGAGAAGAGATCTGACCTATGAACGGAATTTGAAGGAATTTGGTTGGTGTAGTCTGGAAAACAGAAGAAAAAGAAGAGGGACAGAGTAGTCTTCAAATATTTGAGATGTTTTCTGAAGTTGACACTGATGACTTTTCTCCACAGAAAGGGCAAAAAAAAGATTCAAGATTCTTCTTTTACTAAAAAGGTTTAGGCTTACAGCAAAGTGTTAGTCTAACTGTAATTCTCAATTGAACAGTTTACATATGGAGGCTGCAGAATCTCAGACACTGGAGATGAAGGAAAAAGGTAAGTATAGGTCAGAAATTCTCTCTAACTCATACTTTGTATGGGGTTGGGCTTGGTGATCTGCAGAGGTCCTCATCTAGTCATAACAGCCAAAGATTCTAAGTTTTTAATCAAAAAATTAAAAACAGACCTGAAAAGGACCAAAAGAGCTTGTCTTCTGAGAGAGCTGAAGTTGTCTCCTTCAAAATACAAGCTAATCACAGGGTATTGTACATGCCTTCTGTGTTGCTACCGTATAGAAGAGAAGAATTCTAATACTAAGACATGAGTAAGTAAGATAGCAGCGACTATTTCTTGGAGATATTTACTTGCTTACATGATGCTAAGTTTAACAGACACGTTTATGAAATTCAATGATGTCATGCAACATGATTTACCTTCAGATGAAACAAACTTCCAGAAAGAGACACAATTCTTTCTGTATGCTGATAAAATACTTACATCAAGACATGTCAAAATCCCCACTCCCAACTCTCCTTTTTACTAGAATTAAGTATTTTAACAGCACAGTGAAATCAGATGGTTTTCTTTTTTCAAACAAAAAAATTGCGATTTGCCAATTTTAAGAACATTAGAAGTTTTTTAATAAGCAATCTGGAACAGAATCAAGCTAATTCTGTAAAGGCAACTGGAGATGAATTCAGGGAGTGGCTTTAAGTGTTTTAGCAACTGATAACAAAGATATTTTTAAGTAGAAGGTCTGTGTCTTCCATAGTTTGCATTGAGCATTCCTGGCTTAGTAGCGTATCAGCTAGAGTAGTTAAACATATACCTTACATTAGTAATCAGAAATGACTTATAGATGTACTTGGGTAGGACAAAAACTTATCAGCCATTGAAACTAATCTACTAACAATTCAAAATTTATTAAAAATGCTTATTATATTACACACTAACAACTACATATAGTACATTCCATTACAAGAAAGATAAGCTTAAGCTTATTATGAAGCCAAAACTAGTTTGATTTTTTTCTCTTACCTCTGAAAGATCTCCATTTTTAACATGGATCCTTGCCATGCTGTCTAACCATGTCTTCCTTAGTTCAGGTGTACTAGCATAAGACTTTGCCAAGCTGTACTGGAGGTCTACAAGCATTTCCGGATCATTCTCATGCTCCTTCATCTGAGCTGTAGCCATCAGTACTGTACGAATCCGTTTTGTTAAATCCTTAACATCGGAAGGGAATGTAGTGTGCTAAAACATGGAAAAGTTAGGTTAACTACTATCTTTTTCTATTCTTTGCATAATAAAAAGTTGAAACATAATTGCAAAAGATGCTATGAAAGAGTTTTCAAGCATCCTTCTACAGTATGGAAAGAAGAATAAAAACAGACCTTTATAATTCTGTCATTATTGGCACAATTATTGATGATGGAAAGAGACTGCTGAAATCTAGTTCCTCCAATTCCAACAACATCAGCAATTAACTGGCTTACTGAAATAATAACCTTGACAGAAACAAATGTCTTGTTAGTACATATTTCACGAAATACCCTTGAGATGTACCTATGAAGCAATGACAAAGGAAATTTTGTTCTTTTAAATTGAAAGATTATTCTCTTAAGTAAAATTATATCTGATTCCCGCCCCCCCCCCAAAGTTACTTGTACAATAACAGGCAAGAAAAACCAGGCTTGTGTAAATTTAATGCACATGCATCTTCTGCTCTAAAGACTGACTGCTAGGTGAACTAGCCAGAGGTCATAAAAGTAATAAACTACTGTTCCCAGCTTTGTCAGAACACACAATTTTCTATGTATTTGTTTTATTTTAGACTTTTACGTGGTTGTTGCTGCATTCTTTTCTTCTCCAGATGCAACAGGGTATGCCATTTAACAACCAAAATAACATCTACAAAACAGAACATTCACTACTGACAAATAAAAACTATTTCCTACAAAACACAGGGCCATCCAATTGTTTCTAAGTATTCCCTTGTACTGAACATACTTTTATTGCCATCTTCTTACTCTTAGAATAGTACCAGCCTTGCTTGAAGCCAAAATAATTTCTTTTATGTCTTTATCTGACAGGGCTTTGCACATTGGTATGCAACTGTGCATCTACAAATACAACATTTAAAAAAAGAAAAATAAAGAGAGTATACTAACTTGCAGATGTGTCCTAACAAAAGACTTCTTCCCTGTGTAATCAAAATTATTTCTCATTAAGAAGTACAGTAACTGTGAAGCTTCAGTACGAATGGAACTCAGTTTGGAATTACAATACTTCAGAATTTCATAGCACAGTGCAGAACACATATCAGCTCTACCTTCATAAAATGTAGAAGGAAACTGAGGAAAAAGTAGAAAAGAAAGAAGTTATTCATTAAAACTAGCTTCAGTTCTTGATAAATAAGCATGTCAAGAAAAATATAAACATATTAATATTCCCAAACTGTGGAAAAAATAGACAGTTATAGTAGTTCATGATACAAAACGATATTTACAGCAATTCAAAGGACAAGTATTCCACACTGTTGGGATAAAATCAGTCCTTATTCACCAATTTTAATTTGGGATTTTAGTTCTTAAATTTTTACATAGTATATTGTTAACTAAAGAACTGGATAAGTACTCAAAGATTAATTATTTTTAAACTTCTTACCTTAAAAATAAGTGCCCTTAAAGCAATGAAGACATTTTTCAATGCTGTTTCAGACTGATTCTTTTGAAGGAAGCAGAGGTATACATCAAATACCTTCTTCATCAGTGGATTATGCCCGTGATCAGTCAGTAGTTGATTCTTTAAATTGATAGTGAGAATTTAGTTTTGTGCAGTGATACATTTATACTATTCTAAGAACATACACAGATCATCCAAAAATAGGAAATTAAAAAAAAATACAATCTGCATAGTATTACCAAGATGTTTAATAATACAAACATATCTGAATTTTAAGTAGATATTTCTAACACTTCATTAAGCTTGCTTATAAAGAAAGTGTTGGCTTCTGAATAGACTTACAGAACACAATTGTTTTTAAGAGCTGCTAATCAAATCAATCACTATTAACAGTTCTTTGAGAGGCATACTCGAAGTATTAACACACTTTGGTTACACTGGCTTTAGCAGCTCAGACAGTGGAATTTTCTCATAACAGTACCTCCTACTACAATGCTCTCAAAAAAAAAAAACCTGTCCCCAAACCAAACCCCCACCCACTCACCATCTTTCATTACTGTCCTAGAACTGAAACTGAAAGGGCTCTTAAGGATGAAGATGTTAGTTACTTTTCAGAGTTTTACCTGCATCAATATTCCAAAGCCCATTCTGATGCATGCAACAGGGTTACTCTTGATTTCTGTATCACCAGATACAGCTGCCTTCCATCCAAACATTTTTTTTTTTTAAATCTGGTCTCCTCCAATTTCTCTAGCACAGTTGCTGGCTGTGCATCTACTTTTAACAGTTCATACTGCTTCTGTTTTGCTCTGGGGACCTGTTTTCTCCCTTTGTCCACTGAGCATATGCACTAGGTTCCTATGGGACTCTAGGACAAAACAAGGTCTCTCTTCTTACAAAACACCAAAATAGCTTAATCAATTCAGGGACTGCTCAATACAGTCCAGGGAGTCCAGAACTGAGAGGACCATGTTAAGTATTGCTCCCTCTGACTCCACTGGCCCTCCAACATGATTCTACTAGGTCTTGCGCCTTCTGCAACTCTCCTCTGCAAACTCCACTCTTCCTTGCCATTCCTATTTACAGGCATCCAAATGGTATGCTGCAAGGCATCTCCATTACTATCTCAAGTAAGTTTTAAGGTAATATTAATTCAAAGAATCTAGTTTAACAATTGTTTTATAAAGATTCTTGAGGCCCAGTATAAACCTGGGCTCTTGTGGTATGCCTTAAGCTCTTGCAAACATGGAAGAGATGTCTAACTGCAGATGTCTCCTTTTCTATTCATGGAGATGCAGAAGAAATTCTTCAGGCTAAAGAATTTCTAGGCTACGCCCTAGGCATTTCAGGTGTTCCTCAATATTAAAAAAAAAAAAAAAAAAAAGGAGGCAGTCCTCCATTAAAAGCCATTCTGATAACGTGACTTGCAGACCAGAAGAACTCAGTGTGGTTTCAAGCTTTGTGGATGAATAGATACAAATGCTTGCAGGAGACCAAAGATCTCCAAATACTATGCAGTGAAGCCACAGGCAGGCCATTTTAGAGGAACCTAGACATAAATGGTTGGATATAAGCCAGTCAGCCTGTTTGGTTATAGGAAAAAGTTTTATCTCTTGGAACAGTATACAGATCTCTGTAGATGACCCAAACCTAAACACCTAACTGCAAGTTCTGAAAGACGGTAAGGCTTACTACTTCCAGGTTTATAGCAAAATAATGAAACATTGTCTTACAAACCCCTATCCTTATGAGGAAATTGATATAATATCCTTTTTTCAGATGTCAGTAGTTCACTAAAACCACCTAGAGTAGTAGGAATTCACACAGGATCCGTTAAAATTCTACCAAGAAGCAGACATAACTTGTGATTTCCCTGCTGTCATAGATAACAGAGATCTGGATCCCCACTAGTGAAAGATGATCTTGAGGAAAAAAGTTGTCTGGCCTTCTATATAATATGCTAATTATTCCCAAAAGAAGCAGATTGGTATAACTAATCCAATGGCCTTCTATGATGGAGTGACTGCATCAGCAGACAAGGGGAGAGCTATGGATGTCATCTATCTGGACTTCTGTAAGGCCTTTGATATGGGTCCCCACAACGTTCTTGCCACTAAATTAGAAACATACGGTATTGACGGATGGACTGTTAGAAGGATAAGGAATTGGCCAGATGGCTGCATCCAAAGAATTACACTCAATGACTTAATGTCCAAGTGGAAACCAGTAAACAAGTGGTGTCTCTCAAGGATCCATACTGGGACCAGTACTATTTAATATTTCCATCAGTGACATAGACAGTGGGATAGAGTGCACCCTCAGCAAGTTTGCAGACAACACCAAGCTGAGTGGTGCAGTTGATTTGCTAGAGGCTTCCCTGTAGCATGCCATCAAGAGGAACCTTGACAGTGGGCCTGTGTGGACCTCATGAAGTTCAACAAGGCCAAGTGCAAGGTCCTGCACCTGGGTTGGGGCAATCCCCAGCATCAATATAGACTGGGGGATGAATGGATTGAGAGCAGCCCTGTGGAGAAGGACTTGGGGATACTGGCAGATGAAAAATTGGACATAAGCAAGCAACGTGTGCTTGCAGCCCAGAAAGCTAATTCTATCCTGGACTGCATAACAAGAAGCATGGCCAGCAGGTCAAGGGAGGTGATTCTCCTCCTCTGCTCTCATGATACCCCACCTGGAGTACTGCGTCCAGCTCTGTGGCCCCCAGCACATGAAGGACACGGACATGTTGGAGCGGGTCCATAGGAGAACTACAAAAATGGCCAGAGGGCTTGCACACTTCTATGAAGAAAGGCTGAGATAGTTGGGGTTGTTCAGCCTGAAGAAGAGAAGGCTCTGGGGAGACCTCATTGTGGCCTTTCAATATATAAAGGGGGTTTACACAAAAGATGGAAAGAGACTTTTTACCGGGGCCTGTAGTGACAGGACAAGGGGCAACAGTTTTAAACTGGAAGAGGGTAGGTTCAGATTAGACATAAGGAAGAATTTTTTTTACAGTGAGGGTGGTGAGATACTGGAACAGGTTGCCCAGGGAAGTTGTGGATGCCCCATCATCGGAAGTGTTCAAGGTCAGGTTGGACGGGGCTTTGAGCAACCTGATCTAGTGAAAGATGTCCCTGCCCATGGCAGGGGGGCTGTAATAGATGATCTTTCAAGGTCCCTTCCAACCCAAACCATCCTATGATTCTATGATTTTATGTATTTTAGTGCAGTTGATTGAATAGAAGCTCTTGATTCTCCTACCTGTTTTGTTTGGATCTTGTAGACTATTGTGGTATACTCTTACCTACTTTTTCAACATACTACACACAGATAAGCTTGAAGGACTGTCATTCCAAGCACGATGGGCAGCCGATAACTAAAAGATTAGTGTTCATTCTTCTTTAAATCTTTAAAACTAGGTATCCTCATTTTCAATTCTGTCATTAAGTCTGTGGACAGAACTGGTTCTAAACTCTATCTAATTAAATTATTAATAAAAGGAATCTCATTATAAATAAGTTCATGTTTTCATAACTAGATTAAAGATAAGACACTAAATTTGAATCTTCAAGCAAGGATCTGGATGCACTGCTCTAATTAGGGGAGAAACAAGCTAGACCTGTCATCTCTCCTAGCTTCACCTTTAATGTTTGGAAAAGCTCAAAAAAACAGACAGCAGGGGTATGCAAGTGGGCGTGCTATAAAAAGATTACACAGAAGAGCTACAGTAACTGATACAACTAAAAAGAAGTCTTACTAGTGGACAAATTGAAATAAAGTTACAGAAAAGGAACACATACAAATTACTGTTAATTATATGAGCGACTTACATGAGCGACTTCACATAAGAAGAAGCCAAGTTCAATACAGAAGTCTGATAGTGTGCAATTATGAATTATGTTTTTGCCATACAATAGACCTTTCACCCCACAAGGCCGTTAAAAGACAGGTTTACCATTAACACTAGGTAGACATTAAAGTTTCTAGAAGAATTTTTAGGAAGTTAGGATGAGGAAGGAGCTTTTCCCACAGATTACTGCTGATCAGTAAGGAGTCCGTGTGCAGTGTGTAACTGAAGCCAAAGCATTTTGCTGCGAGAGGTTATCAGCTTTTACATGACACAATAATGAAATACAATGCTAGAAATACAATGCTATATTACTAGACTATAAAATATAAATATAATTTTAAAGATATTTTTAAAAATATTTTTTCTGAAAGATAATTATGGGAGATGTTAACACCAAGCCAAGAACAAACCTTAAAAGCCATTGTGAATAATGATAGAGTATCCAGAATTGTAAGGCAAACTTCAGTGGCAATATTTGCTTCAAGTAAAGACTGGTGAAGAACATCTGCATCTGAATGGCCATAGCCTACAGAAATTCCAAATGAAGTGTAAGTGCTGGATATACTCATTTAAATGTTTCTTATTTCCAAAAGACTTGCTGAACTAGGAAAAGATTAACAAATAAAAAGCCTGACAGAAGTTAGTATTCAATACAGAAAAATAATTCGTATGCATTTATATATTTTTCAAATATGTGCATATAATTATCCTAACATAATTTGCACAAGATCATAAAATATATTAAGTACAAATGTCAACAATAGAAGCATTAAACAGCAGTTAAAACAATAAATGTCTGATGTTTCATATATATGTGTATGTATGTATACACACGTGTATATATACAAAAAAATGTACACAGTTATATATATATACACATATATATTCTTAAAATAAGTACTGCAGTAGGATGGAGTTACAGCTGAAAATATGCATTGGTAATTTAGCGATGTTATAATGATCTCAAAGTCAATTATAAGTCAACCATTATAAAAATACAAAACACTAAGAGTTGAAAGAATACAATCATGTATTTATATGCAGCTGAAGACCCAAGTAATTAATTCTGCTCTGTAGCAATACAATGCAATAACTCCATATTTAATCAAAATATTTTGTTGCTTCTAGCTCCATACTGTATTTAAATAATTTTGAAAACATATCCTGCTTCAGCACTGGTTATAATATGTTGTTTATGTTTATGTTATGATCCATGTTTAACATGGATCTTTAAGAACCAGATTGACAAATGTGCCCTGGTTGCTTTATAAAAATTTGGTCTGGATTATGTTTATATGTTAAATTTACAGTCAACTTAGCATCACTAAATCAACGACAAGCATGACAAACTTGTTGAGACCAAGAAAAGAACAGAAGAAATGACATATTCTCTTTTATAATGACACCTGGCCACTTCTTTCTGGACCTTCTTGCTTCCCTGGCTGAACTATGCATGCATACCCATAACCACCAGTTTCTTTGGATTTATACATTCTTTCTGTTAGGAAGTATACACCTCTTTCCTATCATCTTTTGCATTTTCTCTGCCTCCACCTCTTCCTCCTCCCATGTATTTTCTTTGTGGTTTCAATCCAACTACAACCTTCACTTCTGTAATGACGGAAAGGAACAACAGGCATTTGGAAGCAAGTTTTAACACAACAGCTATTTGCCGAATATTTTTCTTTTAATAAAAGTGTTCTTTTCCTTAAAGAAATTCAAAGAAAAATCCTTTTTCTTAGCAATCACTTTTGGATGACCAGAAATCCTTAAGTTAGCCTGTGGTTTCAGTACTGTTGAAGATACCAGGAGACAGCAACTATTCTGAGAACTGCATTGAGGACAAGGGAAATACTCTTTAAAGAAATAATTTGTTCGCTCTTCCAGATAAGAAAAAAGGTGCAAGGTTTATTATAAATACTAAGTAGAAATTGTAGTCAGTGGTCAGGATTCCAAACAGTTCAAATTTTGATCTTCACATAAATAATTTAGAAAAAACAAATAAATAGGTCATTGATTGATTACTCCACATTGTTACTAGAGACAGAAGTTTTGGGCAGGATGTAAACTTAAAGGAACATTCAATTTGGTTGAGTTAAAAGACTGATTTAGCAATGTTTTTTCCATATACATACTAAAAACTTGTTTCAATTTGCTACTATTTTAAAGAAGCTAGTATTGTATTCTTCATGTATAACTAAGATACCGGATTCTATTTTTCATATGTAACTTAAAAAGAAACTATGGAACTACAATTACCACATATAATACGGACATCTGCCTGGACATGCACATGAACATGCACCCATACATTCACACTACTGTAGAGTAACTGGATTTAAAACCATCTAAGAACACTGAAAATGAGATAATCTCTAATGACTGCGAGCTTGACAATGATCATATGCTGCTATTACATATCAGGATATATCGCTTGTATTTCAGTACGTTTGCTTGTCACTATTCTACTGAGTGTCCTCCTCTCCTCCTGCCCCAGCAATACACATATAAATCTACATTCTTGTAGTTTGTATTGAGATGCTTTAGAAATTTGAACAAAGGGCCTAATTTCTTTCATACTTAAGCACAAAACTACACTGAAATTCCTCAGAAATGTGAAATATCACTTAGAACATTACTTCAGTTCTATTCCTTGCTTAAAAGATTAGAAAGGGAACAATTAAGTTTATAATTTACATTTATAGACAACTATCTTGCCAAAGAATCATGATTTTAGAAACAAGTAAAGCAACTATTTCCACCAGATACATCCTTCCTGTATGTATCCCATACAGGATACCTACAAGACTTATTCAAGTTCTGAAAACTACTTTGGATACATGATATAGGCAGACTGACAACTCAACAAAACTAAAAGTTAGACCACAACAAGACCAAAGATATAAAAATCAATTTCACATTTGACATAGCTTTTACAGCAATATATTACATAATATCCTTCAGATGGAAAAGAACAGAAAGTTTCTTTTTACATAAGCATGCATTTATTAAAATCTTTCAGCTCACTGTTTCCTAAAAATCAGTAAACTTTGCCAAGTTCTAGAAGTATGAAATCTCTTTGCACAAGGCCCAGAAACAGCTGTGTTATTTATTTCCAGGAGATTTTTTTTTTTTTTTTTAAATCAGTCTTTATCTACAAGGTATTTTATCTTACTGAATGTGTAGTAACATAGTGTAAAAGCTTTCTTTTGTGTATCAAAAACCATCTAGAAATTATTATAATACAGCAGTAGCAGACCGATTACAAGGAAAAAAAGTAATTTGCACAGCTATATAGCTTTCTGGCATTTTTAAAATCAAATAATTGCATTTCTTATATTTAAACAGGCATGAGAATGCATATATAAACAGGGAGGTTTAGCGGGATTTTTTTTTTCAGTTTTCCACTAGACTATGTGGTAAGTCTTGTGCAATTAGGCTAACTGTTGCTTTATATTACAGATAACGAGCTAAAAGATTTTAAGGGACAGTTAGATATGCTTTGGGAAATGAAAGGATGAACACAGTGAACATACAATTAACTCAAATAATTGCTTTACTGCACACAATTCTTTTCAGTACCAGTGTTGTATTTTACTGGATTAGTCAACCACTTTCATTGTTTTTTGAAGCTGAAAATTGAAAAACGGTGCTTCAGAATACTTTACATACAGTATATTTTGCAATTTAAGAGCAGCATGTTTAAAAAGATAGGCCACAAGCAGATTTAGTTTTCAGTACAGCAGTCTTAACAAGCTGACTTCAACCTGATTAAATCTTACCATTGTCTACAGAAATTCCAAGAATACTTGATATCTTTCTCACACTGAAAACAGAAAAATCACTTCATTATTGGACGCTTTTTCACTTCCAGACAAACCAAATCATGGGCTTCACAATCTCCGCAGAAATTCTAAAAACTTATTTCTCCTTAGGGGATGTCAAAACATGGAGATATGGTCAGAGTGCATATTTTTACTTTTAGACTAATCATTTATAAGACCAAGTGGGGAAAAAAAATGAAGCTTAATAAAGCAAATAGAAAATATAAGTAAATTTTGTAACTATGTGCAGCCCAAAAGTTAAAAAAAATTAAAATACAGTTTTAAAATATGCTGTAGTTAACCATGCTCCATGTTGTGGCATCAGCCAGCATTGATTGTTCTATCATAAAGCAGGGAACAGACCATCGACTGATTCCAGCTATTCGTTTGACCTAGAACAATAAAAGTCATTGAAATGCACTGGTGTGGCTCTGGGACCTGCCTCTGGTGTTGTGGTACTGGTTGAGGATGATGAATGTTATCATGTCATGAGACTTACTGTGGTTAAAAGTGAGAGAGTTATCCAGGCTGCTCAGCTGCTGCAATCTGGCATGCATCATTCCTGTTCTGTTACGGGAAACAGGCAATGTCTGAGATTTTCGATCATGAACTATGGATCCCAACCCCTCCTGGTTCCTGCAAGATGGGTGAAATGGGATAGAAGCAAAAGTTAGACATGTCAAACTGCAGCAAGACAGGAAGTGTTAGTTAAGCACAAGAAGTTTTATAGAAAGAATTATAATGCAACCTATTTACTGTTTTATTTATAAAACAAAAATAGGTAGCTTAAAAAAAGCATCACAGCAAACTCTTTCTTAAAACCTCAAAGCATGAAAGCAAAAGCACACAAGCAGTCGTTCTTGAAGCGCTGAATTTACTTCAGAGCTTTTGAAAACAAATATTTGCAAACATAAATATTCTGAAAATATTCAGAACCCAAAACGAAATCCTCTATTTTGATTGTAAAAATTTTAGAAAAAAGTTAGAAGGACACACAGTGGTAAAATTAAAAAGCATACATGCAACAGGAGAGCAGGAATTAACTGAGGTATTATCATGTACATCTTACCCAAGCAGGAAGGGAGAAGAGCCATATACTTTGTTAAACTTGCAGCAATCAAGTGAAGAAAACAGAAAAGTGATCTGTGTTAGCAATCAGTACAGGCTAACTTCCTATTGTGTACCACCACCAGAGCTGATGAAAAATGAAAACCAGTGCTTGAATTACAGAATTCCCTGTTCCCTTTCATTCTCTGTCATTTGTGTATTTTAAGAGTACGTGCATTGATTGTGAGACACTTCAATGTAATGACAATGTGGAAGACTAGAAAGCTACATTGACTGGGAAAATTCAATATCTCTGCAGAACACCAGATGACTTCTATAGCTTAACGTTTTTAGCGTTAACATGCAGTACACAGACTAGGTGATCAGTAAACAAAAAGGAAGTGTGGTAGTCTTCTCTACAAACCAGTCAAACAAATTAGTTTGAAGAATTTTTATAAAAAGCCTGAAAATTACAGACTCCTATAAATCCAGAGTTTGAATTACATTTAAACACAAAGGTTACAATCAAAACCTTAAGAAAGCCAGATTTATTTTGTCCTTTGATTTTTTTTAGGGTATGTGAACAGAGAAGACTTTTCTTCTGAAAAATCTCCAAGGAGATACTCAAGTTTGTTGTTTGTAGAAAAAGATTCACACACCATTAAAACTAAATTAAAAACAAAAGAGCTAACATTTTAGTTAGAATGCTTTACCACCCAAAGTCAGCAACAACTTTTTCACTGAGTTCAAGAGGGCCAGTATTTCAACCCCACAAGTTTAATTATAACAGTATTACCATGTCAACCCAGTGTAAGGCCTAAACAAGTTGCTATATTTTACTCTACTAAAAAACTACTTCGCATTAAAAACCACATTAATGCAAAGATATTCAAATAATTTAGTACATGTTTCTGACTCCCACAGATTTTCTCCTGAACAGCCTTCAATGGGAACCGACAGCTATCTAACGGTACTTCGGACTTCAAATTGAAAAACAGCAGTGTTGGAACGTTCACTACTCACCTTTCAGTAAAAACACTATATATAAAATTTCTAAAACATTTCAACAGACATGGTTTTATGGCCAAGTGAGTAACAAAACAATTAAATCATAAAATTTCTTCCCCAAAGACACTATTTCAAGGAAAAAAATGCTGTAAAAGATAGCATTTAAGGGGTGGATTTTAAAGTAATTTATAATAAACACAACACACACATCAGATACCAGACTTTCAGACAGGATACAGATTTGTTAATATAGCAACCAGTTACTTACTTCAAACTGTTATGTATCATTTCACAATAACTCTTCCACTCATGCAATTTATTTGTAACAGAGATTCAAGGCATATTGTACACACTATTATTCTTAGTGAACAAGACAGTGAAATTTAAATTCCACACAGTACCTGGCTATGTATCGTTTTCCCATGTACTGGAACTGGTGTAAGCATACTCTGCAGAGAACACATAAGTCAGAGAAGCAACGTTTAAAACAATCTCTTCTAGATTTATGTACATTGGGATTATTCAACTATTATTTTTGTTTAACTCTTACATCATAAAACATCTTTATTTCTCCCACCTTTAAAATTCCCTTCCAGTCCCCAAGCCAAGAAAAGGTAAACATGGCTCTTCTGAAATCAGTCACGGATGGTTGTTGTTTTCGGCAAATTGAGATTAATAGCAAAAGGCACATAAGGCTGCCTCCTGAGCACACCTGTCTCAACACTCTGAATCAAAACAGCTGGTGTGAGTCTAACCGTGACAAAGTAGAAAGGCCAAATGGTGAAAAAACAAAACACCTTAGAAAACTGTAAACAGTGAGTTCAAGTGCTTCATCTTGTATAGATTTATAATATTTATAGAGAAGAAATATTTACCCTTAACTATCATGGACAAAATTTCAGTATGTGAAATGAGGCCCACAGTGAGTTATTTATAAATGAACAGCAATCCAGGACAAGTAACATAGAGAACAGAAGCAAAGAGATAACCAGACATTACATATATACTCATAATTTGCAAAATGTGTATAAAGGTTCAAAATAAGGGCAATACATTTTGCTTTTTTTCCCCTTGACCTAAACTCTCTTGGTTACAGGTTAGGTTTCGTCGTTTTGGTTTTTTTTTGTTTGTTTTGGTTTTTTGTTAAGATCTCCAGATTCCAGGATAACAACAACAACAGGGTTTCTGAAAGAACTATTTTCTAAAGGGAATCTGCTTTTACAATAAGAAGATGATAAAGGCAAATCCCCCAAAATAATTTCTCATTAAAAAAAAAAAAATCTATACTTCAATATGATGCTATATTTTAAAGAATCATAATATTACTGATTCAGATCCAGCAACAAAGTTGAAAGTATAACCTAATTTGCTAGGTGCCTCTGCTTGTCTTCACAACTGGTAAGTACATAACACTGATAACTAATAAACTAGAAGTCACACTTTCAAATCAAGAAAAATGGTGTGAATGGAGGCTGTAATAATGATTTTATTTGACTATTTTCTCACTGTAAGTAATTATTCTGATAATTTAGAAAACTTAATGCAACTTCCCTTGTCCCTCAGGTAAGAATATTCTAAAAGTTCTTCTTTAAAGTGTAAATCCAAAATGAAAGCCAGTTTTCAGGCTTTCTCTTCCATGTGCCCATTGTGAATGTGGGAGAAGACTGGCAAATTGTCTCTTCAACTCAGCTCCGTTTTGTACTCACAGTTCTTTGCAAGGTGAGTACCTACCTACCAGAAACACTGTCTTACTGAGTTAATGAGAAACTACTGTAATGATCTGTATTAATAAAAATAATCATCAAAACAAATGTTATTTGCATTGGCAAAATACTCCTAGAATTGGAAGAGGTAGACTTTTATGAGCCTTGTTCCTGCTCTAGTTTAAGGAATTGTGATATCATCCACTGCACTAACAAGGCAGAAATTTTATTCTGTATTCCATATACTGCTATTGTGATGGAAATCCTCTTTGATAATTAGTAATTTGAGATTAGTGATTTGATCACAAACTGATCCTATCCAGCCCTTAAATAAGAAGTATCTAGTGGCAAAATACTGTTCACCACTGATTCTGTACAGTTTACACCTCAGGCTTCAGAGAGTCTACTAAGTAGGCTCATTTCCTTGTTCAGTTCTGTCTCTGGTACAATCAATATCATGCCAGATGTGCTCAAATGATGAGTTAAAACACGATCTACAATACATTCCTAAAATAGACCTTGAGTAGCACATTCCATAACACAATTAATGACCAATATTACATCGATTGAGCCTCTACTACAGAAACAAAAGAAAGCAGTCCAGTGAAACAAGCAAGGCAAGAAGAAAGGCTTCTGTGGCACACCACTTCAAGCAAACAGCGCCTTCTTCACTTTTTATTAATATATCAGTCAATTCTCATGAACAAACACACTAAGTGTGCATAGGGATGGAGTGCAGCCATTGATAACAAATACTGGATTCATCCTATACCTTTTCCCTTAGAGAATGGCACAAGACGCAAGAGGAATGCTAGGCGGACGGTTCATATCCCTTTGTTTCTGAAGTTATGCAATTCAATCAATTTTTATATGCAACCACAAAATTTCAGCAGTTCATGTTACAAGATGCATTTTAATGCAGACAGGTAACAAGACAGTTGGTTCCTCTTCCATGAGTATAGCAATATTTGAGCACTACTCACTGTTTAGGAATTTCCTGAGATCACTTCTGTATAGCCTAATTCCAGAAACTATCATGGACTTGAACAGACATGCAATTGTGCACATCAAGTTAAGGACTTCTAAACAGACCAAGATGGCATTATTTTTTTTCAAACAAATAAATAAAAATGTATATACACACTTATATCCACACTCATGTTTTTAACAGCATAGCAAAACATATGACTTTATGACAAGCTCAACAAAAAAATCTTACTCTGTAATTGTGAAAAAATCCATGAGTTCAGATTTTGTAGCCTTGTTCCAATATGTAAACAATGCATCTAGGAAAATGAAAAATATTAAAAACAAGACAAAGGCAGCAAACACACAAAAATATTAAGTAGAAGAGTTAACATCAGTTCTTAGTTTTCAGATAATGAGGATTCAGAGAATCTAAAAATGGCTTGTGGGGTACAATTAACTATTACTATTTAAAGTTTTCCTTGAAGCTGATTATACAAATGCACATATCAATTCTCCAAATGAGTTTCTACAATATGCTTTTAATTAATCCATAATATTCCTATACAATTTCATATTTTAAATAGTAGTAATCGTGTAGTCAGTAGTGACTACAGTGTTCTAAAAATATAAGCCTTCAGAATACTTCGGACTGTTAGTCCAATAACCTGCTTCTTTATAGATTGGTCTCAACATTTTTTAAATTCCAATTTATGATTTCTTCTTTTTTAATTTACAATGCTTTACTATAGCTCGTTTTTCAAAAGCACAGGTTTCAGATTTTCTTTATTTGCACAGATTTCAAAAATGGCTGTGTATTTTTTACAAAACCTGTAGTTACATAGCCAAGACCTGGTCTCTTTTGCCAGAAATGCTCAAAATTAGCTAACAAATTCAAAATTATTACAAACGATGTGTGGCAAAGTTTATTTGACACTTGTTCTTTTCCAGGAGAATTGAGACCAAGAAGTCTCCACTGTGCTTATGTAAATTTTAACTTGAATTTCCTAGAAATTCTGTCTAATTTTTACATATTTTAAAGTATAAAATAGTGAAAAAGAAATCTGAGTTTTATTATTCTTTGTAATTAAAATACATAAAATAATATTGATATAATTACATGAAAATCTGATGGTGTGACTAGATATTGAATACTTATTAACCTTTCAATTCTCATTCTTGATTAAGTGGTGTAATAAATTAGAGTTCAAGTACTACATAAACTTGATTTTTAGAAATTAACATCAAAATAAACACAGAAAATAAATTAACTACTTCTGACATGTTTAGAACAAACTGAAAAATTCAATGTTTTTACCAAAAGGGATTTGCCTTCTTTTTTAAATATTGATCAAGGATAGGGATGATTCTGAATTGTAGGATCCTAGTAAAAAAATCAAGGTTTGCCATTCATGCAGTATTTCTATACCTCCGCAACCTTCTCCAGGATTCAAAAATTCAATGGATCATCTCACAAACATGCCAGGAGAATGAAGAAGCACAATATCCCCATTCCAGAAATGGAAATATACACAGTGATCAAATCATTTGGTTCCCTGTCATACAGGAAGTTCTGCAGAATGGAAGAATGGGCTAGTCCGAGACTGATCAATGAACTATTCTTCACCTCCATTTTCCAAAACGGACTGTACAATCACACACAAATATTCGCTTTCTTACCAAATCCTTTAGTTAGCCTCACACTTTGAAGGAATAATGAGTATTTAATGCTTACAATGTTTCAGTCAGAGTTTAATTCGATCAATCACACATATTTGTAAAACACAGCACAACATGGTACCTACAACTAAAATATTCTGCTGATTTTGAAAAGGTATTAAAATCACAGGCATAAATCCAACACATGATTTCGAACTTCTGAAAAATAGGTGGAATTACCTACCTTCTGACATACTTCTTAAAATATGAAGGAAACACATGAGTAGACTTTTGATCTCTGCTTGGTCAAGTTTGTCATATCGAACTACAGAACTTCCCAAAGTGCTGCTCTGCTGGTTCTGAAAAGAAAACAGAAATATTTTGGCTGAAGAGTTCTTAAACTAATAACAAACTAAAATGTTTTAAATTGCCTTATCAATTCCTGCAACAGAAAAAGGATCTCAGAACAGAGACAAAAATATTTCATGTAGAGACAAGTCACTAAAACACACATTACACACATGAAGTATACCAAATTAAGCCTCTTTACCTTTGTTTATTTTTATTTCCTTCTTTGTATGATTTTTTTCCCCCAGAGGGAGGAGTAAGAGGAAAAATTACCTAACAGTGATTATTACACAAGTTAATTATACATAGATACCCACATAGTAGAAATCATTCATGTCCCTTCTGCTTAAATGAAATACTTTAAAAATAAATGTTACTGTGTTAGGTGATACATATATGCTCCTTTGCTTTTGAAGAGACTTCATGCTGAACTGTAGACAGACCTGCCTCTACAAAATTGTTTCCATTTAAAGATGTAAGAACCTCAAGGAAAACATGCATGAATGGCAATAATATGCATTCTGGAAGATTAACTACCAATACGTAGCTTGCCCTTGCCTCAAAAAAAAAACCCCCACAAAAAACCCCAAACAAACAAAAAAACCTCACACCAATCTTTCTCCCTACTTCATTTGCTTATACAATTCCTACATTTGTGCGAAGTTAATCAGCAATGCTCAATACTAAAGTCTGTCCAAAAAGAAAAAACCCCATAACTGATCTTTCAAAATGTGTACCACAAAAAAAGGAAAAAAATAAAAATGTGAGAATATATAAATTGAACTTTAGGTAAAGACTTATCTGTAAAAGAATAATTTCCACTTGATCGAAGTGTTACAAAATCCTCAGTTTGAGGCTTTTACAGATATACTATGTAAATGTTTGTTTAAAGGATAAATTATGCCCTTTTTAGTGCCTTATTCTCACTTCCAATATAAGGCCACTTATGTGAACGGAAAATGAGCCAGACATTTAAGAAGTTTTCTGTAAAGTCAACAGTGTGGTACAACTGATCTGTGCAACTCTTTGGTTTCTACAAGAAAGTTGGATCATCTTGGCTCCATGACCTTTTTAAGGACACATACACATTTCTTCCAGTGTTGGAAGAAATCCTTCATATCAAAATCTGGAAAAAAAACCCCAACAAAACAAAAACAAACAAAAAACCCCCACATAGACTCAAGGAAGAAAAGCACTTGGTTTCACAAACAAAGCAAGAAGTGCCAATACCTCAAGAGTGTAACAACCCTTCCAGGAACACTCCGCACTGAAAGCAGGAGACATGCTAATTCACAGCATACACATCAATTGACTGCTGAGCCCTTTAACGCATTCCGTGTAAAAGAACAGAATAGCTGTCCTAAACCAACCTGTGTAAATCTGTCACATACTAGCCATTGAATGGATGCGCAGTGAAACTGAATGTGAAACTATGATTAATACTAGGCAGAAGTTACTGTAATTTAGGAGGAAATGGACACCTATATAAGCCTGATTATTGCAGATTCTAAAGACCTCACACACTGTTTATCTTTGAAATATCTCTGGTGAACAAGGAGGTGCTACTATACAGCTTTATGAATACTGAAACAGAGTAGACAATTAATGGGTGGCAGAACAGAATTTGAGTTTCCTAGACTTTCAGATACTGTCCAGAGCACTAGATAATATTCCCTCTAAAATAGTTGAACATGAACACGGATAAAACAAGGACTCTAGCTACTCACAAGCTTAATTTAAAATCAGGTCAATAACCTATAAAGTATGCACATATTAAAATAGAAACTGATATACTTCCAGCCAATTCTGATTCCACAAGTATAGTTCTACAGGTTATTCTGAAAGAAAATTAGAACAAAAACATGGCTCTTCAGTAATGATATCAAGCAATGAGCAAAAACTCGAAGATAACGTGCACCGAACAACTGATCTACTAGAAAGAAAGTTCGGAAAGCAACGAATAAGAAAGCAGGATGAAGTATTATTTGGGGAAAATATTAACAGCATGCAAAACATAAATCCTGTATTACCTAAATTGGCAGACCAGAGTAGAATTTTCAAAGGAGGTTGACTCCTTTGAAAACCCTTTTACTTGGTAAAAACACTACACATTAATAATTAACAACATGACAACTAAGTAATAGATGACAGCATTGCCATTTAGCAACAGTGTATGCACAAGGTAGTTCTTTATTTGGTCAATGTCAAAAAAGATTTTTCAGTTCTATTTATATTAAAGACTCTAAGACTCAAATTCTGCTTATATTTAAGCTGGTTGGATTTTTATGCTTAAATTAATTCATGTACATGAACTATTCCAGGTTTGGCATTTGAAAGTATTCTTCGTGGTTACATTGTACATATTTGGCTTGAGATTCAGCTGTTGCAAAGAAGTGGCAAAACTACTGATCAGACACTTCACTCAAAAGCTTAACTATACCAAGCACAAAAACCAAATACTTCTTGTAACTGAAGAGAGAAAGCAGCATGCAAAATATTCTCTGGCAAAGCTGGAATTGTCAGAAGTGAAAAATCCATAGTAACACGGTTTTTCTTTGCAGGGTGAGAATTTTCTTCTTCTTCTCCATTAGGGCGCATAGCATGAGCAGAGTGCCTTCTGAGAAGCTTCTCTCTCTGCCACACGAAGGCATGTCAGAGTCAAGGGGAAAAAATTAACATGTTGTGACTTGCACAACAAGATATAAGAAAATGAAATGTGATCAGTATCAACACAAGCTCTAGAAAGACATGACTGAATACCTCATAGCTACTGCAGCCAGAGCTCCTAATTTAAAGTGAAATGATTTAGAAAAGTCAAACTAATATAAAAGAAATCACCTAGAGAAAGCACAGCAACTGGTTTTTCAATATTTTAAAAAAGCTACGTGTATTGTGTATAGAACAGGATGGAATGAAGGTCTCCACAAAATCAAATAAGCTGTCCTAACTAGAATTCAGTTCTCCCAAGCGACATTTAATTCACTTTATCTAGTGCCTTTCTCTAGCAAAGGAAATAACAACTGCTTGCTTATGTCTCTACATTGAAAATCTGTTTGTATTTTCTGCAAAACAGCTTAATAAATGCCATGCAAAAAGAGTTCATACGATAATTATTTTGCAAAAGAAAAACTTATGTAAAATACTGCTCTACAGTTATTCTAGAAAGCCCATTCCCAATGGAGATTAGAGAAGTTAACTCCTATAAGAATTAAGATGAAATTTTAGGAATACACTTTGGGTTTTTTATTTTGTTTTGTTTTTTTTTTTACCTTGTCAAGAGAATTGCTCTTGTCACTGTGTCTTTCTGGGAGACTGTTTCCCGAGTCTGTACTTATAAGAGAGCCTCTTGAGTCAGCGTTCCTCACGCTATTAATATTTGGAGTTGATGTGGTGTATGGGGAAGCTAAAAAAAACCCAGAACAATATAAAAGTCTCAAACAAAACACATACTGAAAAAAGTCACTCCATAGTTTAGTCAGACTTATAAAACCACCATATATGTATATATTTTTTAAGAAGGCAAATAATTAATTCCATTTAGTTACTTTTAACGAAGACAAACTTATTCTAGAGTTTCAGCGAAGTATACGTATGTACATACACAGACTTATGTACAACTACACACACGTGCGTAAAAAACGTATGTAGCAATACATATACATTTACATGAAGAAGCATGTGTATTTAAAAAACTCCCCTTCCCCATTTTTCATCTCTTTTTTTTTTTTAATGGACTAGTAAGTGACACAACTAATTACAGCAGACAACAACAAATAGAAAAACACATTAAAAAGACAGACAGGAGGATGCCTACATGTGTGCACAAGCAGCACTCCTCTTAGAGGTGGTCTCTAATATCATGTACAAAATTGTGGATTATGGCATTCTTGCCATACGTAACTAAGGCTAGTCTTGTCTCCTATTTCTTCGCAGCAAGACAAGAACTATCACCTTTGATGGGGGAAAAAGCAGCTCTCTCCAGGAAATATCTTTAGTTTCAAATAGAAAAGCAAAACCAAAACACAGACTGTGTTTTGTACAGACTGTGAATTCTGACCCACGCTGAACAACTGATTGCATTAGGGTTCTGTTAATGAAAGTAGCAGTAACATTCAAGTATACATGCAGAAAGCAACCAAAGTTGGACACAGGACAATTATTTCTGGTAACAAATGAAAAAGGAAACTGGTTCCTTTTTTAATTATTTTATTTTATTTTTTAAGTGCTTACCAATGCCAGAGATAACACCAAATAGATCTTTAGGAAGATTGTTATCCAATGTGTTTCCTGATTTTTGTGGTGTTACTAGCTGACTTGCAGTTGGCAAATTAAGTGCATCATCCTTTGCACTCTGTTTGGAATAGAGAGGAAAATGTGATTATTGTTTTCCAACATTATGGACTTAGTGAATATGACATACTTTATCTTCTATAGCAGTATTTGTTATATATTTCCTTCTTAAATTTTAATTTCTATTAAATATGCTCAAAAGCATGGAATGAGATGTTCAGGTATTTGTACAAGCTTGGGATAGCCTAAAACTTAAGATACCTCAGGAAACATTGAAGGAATGAATATTCCATTGAATTTTAAACACTATAAAATAGATATTTCCAAGAGACTCAAATTACTTTTATTTCAAACACCCAAACATTTCTGTTGTTGGAAGGGTACTGTGAATTTCTTTCTTAATACCAAATGGAACAGAGCAAGATACGGACAAAAATAGAATACATTAATAATTAAATCTTAGACTCAATAATTGTATGCAAATATTATACATCAATATACACCTTCACAAATTCCATTTGAATTCATTCTCCTGTAGCCCTCTTACACTACAGCTGTTCCTTTAACGTTAAAAATTCTTCTATAATTTCTAGAAAATTAACCTTTTTTTTTGGTGGTCCATTTATTTCAGTGCTGGACTGAATTGAAAAATAAGATTTAAAAAAAAAATCTACCACCAATATACAATCTTTTCTGCTGAACAGCAACAGCAGCTACTGAATCTGTTGGGATTTTAGCAAACATAACTAATTATCTATGTGTTAGATTGTCAGGGTATGGAAGTATCCTCTTGCATAAAAATGAAGTATGTGCAAGTGCCTCCAATGCCAGGATCTACAAGAATAGAGGAAAACTGTTTATACAAACTGGCAGACAGACTAAAAAGAAGTGTAATTTTTGAGCAAAAAACAGAGACAATTTAATGAAAGCTCCTCTCTCAGAAAAATTCTATCAAAACTGGGTAATAGATACAAACGGAAGGCGATTAAATTTCAGAAACAGCTGATATTTATTTCAAATACACTGTTCCTTCAGCTTCTTTGGCTGCTCTTCTTCGAAGACTCAGAAAGATGCAGCAGGTCCAATCCTGTGTGGTCTATAGTTTGTATTGAAATATAGGCACATGCACCAGAGATACAGAAAAAGCAAGATGTTACATGGCAGTATAATCAGATGGCATTAGAATGATGCTGTGGCAATCTGTGTGGCCTAGCATTCTCCAAAAGTCTTCAGAGGTTCAAGTAGAGATCAATAAGGGCACTGTAACCTGTGTGTAGGACCAAACTAGCCAGTTATCACGTTAGGCATAACTTAGCTGGGCAAGAAAAACTGCAGCCAAAACCATAACGGTTAGCTAAGCTTTTAAGCTCAGAAAAAGCAAGAAGAACAAACTCGCAGAATTCTGAAGCTTATGAAAATCTTTGTTTGCCAGAAGTATGCAGTGTTTCTAATACACGTTACCAATAAATTACGATAAAAATAATTCAGAATACCAAATAGAAATGGTCACTCACATTGCTGGAAGGGTTAACAGGAAATGGAGACACATCTTTAACATTGATTCGCTGAACATTTTCTATGAGCAGTCCAAAGAGCGGTAAATACATAGTGGCTATTCTTGCTTGATGGCTCTAAACAGAGTTTAACAGCTCATTAACAGAATACAGATTTAAATTTTAATTCACTCCTAAATTACAAAAAAGAGCATTTAATAAATACTTGCCAAGCTAGAACCCACATTCGTAAGTTCATAAATGGCAAAAGCAGTGATTATTTAGTTTCAATATAATGCAGAAAAAAACCTAAATTAATGTGATTTTATCTAAGACTAAGTAAATTAATATTATGTTAGCTTGATAAATTAATGCTATCGTCCATTAAAATTTAATGGCTTCTCCACAGCACAGCTGATGTTAAAAAAAAAAAGTGAGAAAAATTAAAAATCACTCAAAATTTACAACCATGACTTGTAGCTTTCTTATACTCATTCTACGAATAATAGATGATGGACATACAGCTGCCAAATATTAAGAGCTAATGTTTAATGAAAATAAGAGCTTTAAAAACATTCGTAAAAATCTGATTGCTTTAAGAACAGCAGCTAGATTACACTGTGCTAAAATGTAATAAACACATGTCATTACGTTAAAAGGTTCTTTGTGCTTTCATTTGGTAAAAATATGGGATTTGCAGATTGATTTTGATACAATTTTCATACATACTTCCATCACAGTCTGAACAGAAATAACACTGCTACAAATTAACAAGTTTTTTGTGAAAGAAAAAACTTTCTGTATGTGCGCACACTTAATCTTTATTATTTTGTACAACTAACATAGCAATACACTTACCCTGGTAGCATATCTATCATCAAAGGAATGCTTTATCATCAAATTCTTGAGCACACTAATAGCAATCTGCCGCACATCTCTGAACTCTTGTAATGCATTGCCCACCTCCCTTAGAAGCAGTCCCACTAAGAAGTGATTTTTACAGAACTCATCAGTTAATGAATAGTCCAGATGAAGGTCTGGAAGTAAAGTACAAGTTCTATGTAAGGAATGGTAATATTTAAATCAATTCCTCAATTAACATAAGGCTGAACTAAAGTGTTTCCAACACTATTGACAAATTCATATGTATTCATATATATAATATATAATCATAGTTATTCATATATCCCTAGCCCAATTCACTGCATAATGATGCATTTATTAAACAGACAATGATGATGTGTATTCAATCAACAGCAGGTGAAGAAATCTAAATACATTATTAAAAAAATATATATATTTTAAATACTATCCAATATTCAAAAGTGTTTCTATTAAATTTACCTGGACAAGCATCTTACAGCTCCAAATTCAAATTTTAAATCTATATTCAGGCACTGAAAACACACACAAAGGTTATGGACATTCTATCTTTCAGGTATTTAGTTGTATGTTAGAAGTAGAATTTAATTTTTAGTCTGTGGTTCAGTCCCTTGAAGGACTGCAAGCAAAACATGGATTAAGAAGTTTTAGATTTCTGTACTGCAGTTTTAAGTTTCTTCTTCATTATCTTACACATGTATCTATTATGAATATAGACTATAAAGCCTGCTAACAACTGTGATCTTGGTTAATTGATATTCTCTAAGAAAATGGTCCCAAAAATTTGCAGTGCGTAACAGAAGTGTAATGAAGAGACTGCATTTGCAACATATGTCCAAATTAAGCAATTTCTTCTCAATATATCAGAACACAAAAGGGCACAATAATATTTAAACAAGATAATTTAAATGAATCTAGAAATTAGAATCTAGAAAATTAGACCTGCATTGTAATACGGTAGGCAATTTTTCTGCTACAATTAAACAATACTGTATTTTCCAGAAATATTTATCTATTCAGTGTTAATTGCAACAGAATTTGAAGTATAGAACATTTTATTTGAACATTTGTGCTTAAACCACTGCAATGTAATTTTATTTCATAAAGTATGTCTAGTAGTAACTAACTGTAAATCTATACCAAGCCCCATATAGATATTATATAGACACATACACACACAAAAACCCAGCACATCTGACACAGCAAAGTCAAACTGCTCCACTTTAGAAGTATTTTTTGTGTAATAAAATAATCCAGTTCATTTATGTAATGAATATATGACAGCTTAAGAGAAACTTTAGCTTGAAGATCTTATTTATTAGATTATATATACATTTAAAATTTCAGCTGAGGAGGTATTCAAGAGTTTCTCATATTCACTGTCATTGGTCAATACAATAATCAAAAAACAGATGCTAATCTCAAAGCACTTTCATTTTTCAAAGAACTGTCCCAGTATGGGAATCCATTAAGTGAGAAAGAAACATAGATAAGAGAGCACAGACATTCTACGGGCCTTCTCGCAACCACATCACCCGAGATCTCTTTTGCTTGAGACAGGAAAACAGAGCCAGGAACACTTTTGATAAAGGTCATCTTTCCTGGCTGAACTCTTAGTTCACCGGGGAGCAGCATTTTACACTGTTCTTTATTGTGTAATCAGAAGCACTATTTTCTCTAGTTTTGCTCTTTTCTTAGGATCCCTAACCCAACAATTCATAGTCCCTTTCCTGTGGAAATACTTATGCAGTGTTATTACCCAAAACACTCCCGAAGGCTGAAAAAGCCAAAGACAGAAACAAGTTTATGCAGCTGTCCAGCTCTTAGTCCCAAATCTTGTTCTACCACCTTGATGAAAGCGTTAATTAGTTATACCCAACTTTACTAAGCTAGCAGAGTCTGAATAAATATTTTTCTGAATAAATATTTTTCTGAATAAATATTTTTCTGAATAAATATTTTTCTGAATAAATATTTCAGAAAAAAATAACCTAATCTACAATAATATAAATGTTAGGCAGGTTTACTTGTTACTTGTAAAAGCACCTTCCTCGTCTCTGCTTGTTGATGTCTGCTATAGTTCAATGTCTGGAAGAAATTAACAATGTCTTCACAGCCACAAATGCAATAGCTAATGTACTATTTGTTTTGGCACAAGGCTAGATGTACCAGGAGCCCAGCTGGGCTAAACAGGACATTCATGACTGAGCTCCAGTGGGGAGAAAAAAAAAAAAAAAAAGAAAAAGATGCACATGAGGTGGAAGCAAGAACAAGCTACAAAAGAGGAATATAGAAGCATTGATCAAGTATGCAGGGATAGTGCCAGGAAAGCCAAAGCTCAGCTACAGCTGAAACTGGTAATGGACATCAATGGCAACAAGAACAGTTTCTACCACTACATTAGCATTAAAAGCCTGAATAAGGAAAACATGGGATATTTGCTGAATGAGGACTGTGATTTAGACAGTGGACTTGGATAAGGCTGAAGTACTCCATATCTTTGTTACCTTATCCTTCACCGCCATGGTTCCCAGGCCTTAAGAGTCTAGAAAGAGAATTATCAGCAGTGGATGAGGATCAGGTCAGGGATTTCCTGAGAGACCTCCAGTCATGCAAATCCACAGCACCAGATGAGATGCTGAGAGAGTTAGCTGATATCATTGGAACACCACTCACTATCACCTTTGTTAAGCCATGGTGATCAGGGGTCTCCCATAATTGGGACCTTGCGATGACGGAAGTCAGATACTACACATACCTTCAAAAAAGGGCAAGAATGATTCAGGGAACTACAAGCCTCACTTTGGGCCTTGGAAAAGTCATGGAGCAAGTCCTCTTGGAAGCCATTTTTTGGCAAGTGAAGGAGAAGACTATGACCAGGAATGGCCGGGATAGATTTACCCAGGGTAAAACATGCTTGACTAACTTGTCTTCTACAATGAACTCACTAGATCTGTGGTTAAGGGGAGAATAGCAGATGTCCACATGGTCATCGTATCCAAACCGGGACATTACAGTCTAGGTGAATAGACACCTAAATGTGCAAAAGAACTAGGTGGATCATTGGGCTCAAAGGTTCGTGATTAATGGTTTGTACTCTACTTGGAGACCAGCTACAAAAGGAGTTTCCCAGGGTCTATCCTACTTAATACTACTTCATCAATAACCTAAAAGAGAAGACGGAGTCCACCCTCATCAAGTTTGTGGATGGGGTACAGTCCATATGCTCAAGGGTAGGGTTGCATTTCAGAAGAATCTAGATTCTACAGGAATGGGTCAACAGAAACAACAATTAAATTCCAGAAGGACAAATGCAAACATTCTGCACCTGGGATGGACGAACTTCCTGCAATGGTACCCAGCTGCGGAATGACTAGCTTGGGAGCAGCTCTGCTGAAAAACACCTAGGGGTCCAGGTGGACAGTAGCTTCAACAGGAGTTAGCATGGCATCCTAGCAACTATGAAGGCTAACAGCATACTGGGCTGTATCAACAGGATCATAGCCAGTATATCAAGGGAAGTGTTTATGACCCTTTACTTGGCATTTGTTAAACATATCTGTAATACTGTGTGTAGTATTTGGGCCTTCTAGTACAAGAAGGATCTTAACTTGAATGAGTTCAGCGAAGGACCACCAAGATAGTTAGAGGGGTGGAGCACATGCCCTCTCAGGAGAAACTGAGGGAACTGAGCTTGTTCCATCTGGAGAAGGGAAGGCCTGAGGTGACCCGAGTAGGAGGTTGGACTACAGACCTGCTGAAGTCCCTTTTAACCTGAATGGGTATGTGAAAAAAAGTAAAAAGTACACCAAGCCTCACACTGCACACCTACCTACAGGAGTGTTGCAGGCTTCCACAGCTAGTGAATTAAAAGCTAACTCATGAAAAAAAAGCAAGCTTAATAATCATAGCAGGAAAGGGAGGCAGAGTCAAGGATGTAGTTTATCATATCTTTCAATGACTAGATACTTTGGATAGATTACTCTGCTACCTAAACTATTCCTTTAAGTTTAAATGAAAGGATTACAACTTTAGGCTTCCATTTAACAGTTTCAAGGTTTCCAACATCTCATAGACCTGAAGTCACACAGTCTACATGCCTAATAATAAAAAGGTGACATCTGAGAAATATACACTTCTTTGGAAGAATTTACCTTGGTATCTCTGAACTCTGCCTTTTCCAAATGGCATTGGTAGATTCAAAGGTATGTAGTGCTCATGATTACAGACTACACGGAGAAATTCAAATTTGAATTCAAAAAGAGTCTGCAAAAATAATTTTAAAGTATAAATTAAACAACCGATGCAGTGATTTGAATAACACATTAAAAACAGCTTTCTAACACAAAAGGGTGATTTCTCTCAGTTTTGTAGTATGAGGGATATAGATCTGTCAAAGTTCCATATGTCTGTATAAAATAATTCCAGCATAATTCATACCTGACAACTGGATATAGTTCTATTTATTGTCCAAAGTTATTTAAGTTTAATAGCATATTATGTATTGATGTAAGAAAAGTTTGGACCCATAGAAGAAATTCTTTGGACATCTGGTACATGCTTTCACCATTACAGTAAATGTACAGAAACTTAACAGATATCAACTCTTCCAACTTCAGCCTTTCTCACATTCATGCTTATAATTTCTGTTTAGTGTTGCACCCCCGCCCCCCACCACTTTTGCAATACACATGCTCTAGGGTGGTAAAGTTGCACTTGAAGATGGAAATCAAAATATGAAAAAGTGATTTGATGGAAAAAAAAATGCTCTAGGCACAGTGGAGGGACTTCTAATGTAACCTGGAAGAAGTCGGAAGACAATGCAGGACTCTATCCCCATGCATCAAGAAGAGGCAACTCCTAAAAATAGTTTGTTTAAAAGCACTGAATACCTTCGGATCTCCTGGGGCAAAGCAGCTGATGTAGTTATTGATTTGCTTGAAAACAAAGCCTCTATCCATAAAAGTAAAACATCTCTGGGGAGAACAAGCAAAACCAACATAGAATTGATTTAGTAATGTCTCAGTGCTCAGTAATTATATTTCTGTATTTAGTAAGTTTTTTTTCCAAACACATTATTGATATTTCAGTTTCAATATAAAAACCAATAAAACAAGCAAACTAAATACAGGTATACATATATGAATACCAAATTTTCCCTTAGAGTGTGGAATGTAAACAAATTGCAAATAAAGAGTTTGAAGAGAATTCCTCTATCGTGACAGAAGTGAAAATGACATGCCACTGGCAGCTTTATCTACCATTTTATTTCCCATCCTTTTTTCTTCCTACTGGATCTTATCGGCTGAAAAAGGAAAGATACTGAAAGACTGTCTACATAAAACGCATGCAGATAGACTACGCAATGTATGAAGCTTTTGTAGTATTAGAAGGTAAGCTAGATGATATTTTTAAAGAAAGGAAAAAAAAAGAAAAATCAAAATACATTTTGGATAAAATATAAATTCATTTTAAAAAAATTCAAACTTTGAACAGATGTCTTCTTGATTATAGAAGATGCAAATTATACTTCAATGTATTTCAACTTGGACATAGAATTATATTTGAAAAGCATTATGCATATTCAGTTTTATATGAGTTGGCTTTAAGATTCTTTAAAATCCATGAAGAAGCAGTATTATTGAAAAAGTAACCACAGAGCCCAAGTTGCTTGTGTACCTACTTTTATAAAGGCAGCAAGGCTATGGTTTGCATTTTTTGAAGCCTCTGGATTGTCTCTGTACTTCTGGGTGATGTGTGGCATTAGCATATTAACAACTGTTTCAACCGCATGATGAAAGGAAGCGGAAAATCTCTGGTTTCGCAACAGCTAGAAACAAATTCAGATACAATATTTAATATGGTTTATAACACTAAAATATATCAGAAAATTTACTTTAGATAAGATATAGATAACCTGACAGAGAGAGAGGAGATTAAAAAAAAGTTTTCAAATTTCCTCATTTGTCATTTAAAGTAACATTTTCTTTAAATTCAAGATTTTCCTGAACTTTCTAGATTGAGAGGGGAAAAAAGAGCATTTGGTTAAAAGAAAATATTACAACATGCACTAATATCTATTACAAAAATTCTGGCAAGACAATCTTTGATGACAAAAACACATGTATAAAAATTTGTAAGTGTAATGCATTAATATTTTTCTATACTACAATAAACTTGACGACAGAAGCTAAGAAAAAAAAGGGAATCCTTTCATTTTATCTATCTTCCTTTCCAAAGCAGACGCCAGCTGGTTCACATATAGTAACAGCATTATCAAACTCTCTTTTCTGTCTTGAAAAAAAACAAACCAGTTTTTGCTGTTCTGCAACTATCTTTTTAATAACTCCTTTGCCTTTTGCCATTGTGGAAATTCTTATCCATGTTTCTTTCTTTTGCTCATCAGCAACTTTAAATCTCAGCTATTCCAGGCTTCAGAATCTTACTTTCCGTGTTTTTAAGTTTCCACAATCAGAACTATTTTGCCTTGCTTTTAGGTAGGTTGCCAATTAGCTTAAAAGATTTCCTCTACGTTCACAATTTCCTCCTTTCCACTCACCATCTACATTATCTTCAACAATGATTTTGTACATTCTGGCCAGTATTGGTCAGTAAGTTCTCTTCAGCTTTTTGGCACTGCAGAGCCTCTTTTATTTCTCTACATTTTACAATCTTTAATAAAGATTCTGTCTTTTGTCTGAAGGGACTTAATGACAGGTGGTGTGAGGCTGAAGAAGTTGACGTTGACAAAAACTGTTTCAACTGTACAGTCATCATGTCTTTTCTTTCTGAAAACTGAAATCAAAACATCCAAGTGCTCTGAATACTTTGTTATTTAAATATTTTTTGAACTATATTGAATGCAACATTCCTAGGCAGAACAAGTCATTGTCAAGGCCCTGCATAAATTATGATTATGCAATTTGCTCCCTTTGCGTTTGAACTGTACTCCAAAGTCTTTAGTTCTTTTTTTAAAAAAAAAATTCAAAAAAAATAGATATTAAGGTTGAAAAAGATCCCTGTATAAATGTCAATTGTACTTATTAATGAAATAACAATTAAAAATTAAAAATTCTGTTGGTAGGTACGCCAGTCAGTGTCCTATGATATTCTTCTAACTCAGTCTTTGTTGGACAGTAATTAAATATTTTTAAAAATACTACAAAATTCTTGCTATAGAAATAATTTTGCTGCACCCAGAAATGCATCTTTTTATCAGATCTCATAAGTAGGAAATATCTGAATGCATGTTCCATTTACTACTTTATTCAGTAAGACAGAAAAAAGCTAACAAAATAATTTATTTGATATTTAAGGGGCTTGTAAATCAAGAAGCGATGTTCAGGAAATGAGGATACATGCAAACAAAAGGTGAGTTCTGCTCCTTTATCTTTCATGTCACAGGGAAGATGACAAGGAGGTTAGTTCTAAAAGTGGAAATGTCTTTTTTAACATGAAATGTGGAAACAACAACAAAAATCTGTCATAAAAAGTCATTCCAGTAGTTTATAAGCTATGAACCTTACTTCATGTTATTGCAGGGGAAGAATGAGAAAGAACAGCAGTTCAAGGTGATACACAGCAAAGTACTAGAATCTAAAGGTGCGCGTGTTAAAATAATGTTTCCTTTGTACAATTGAACAGTTCATATCTGAGGGTTGCTTTTGAAGATACTATTAAAAACAAACAAAATATAACCTGAAATGAATGGCGTTCCTATACAACAAGTATACCTAGCATGCAGAACACTCTATTGAGTGGGACATCAATAGAAACGAGACAGGTATCTTCCAGTATCAAGCTTAAGGTTTTGGGGGTAGGGTTTTTTGTTTGGTTTGGGTGTTTTTCCTCTTCAAGTAGAATTGCATGCTTCTACACCTGTAAGTCCTATCATTTTGGTATTTCAATGCTGCCTAAGAAAACCTCTGCATGAACTGTTATCATCTTAGAAAGATTTATGGCTACAGAACCTACTAAAACTATAAAAAAACCTCACTGTGCATCCTTATTTTCTGAAATAAAATGGGGTCTCTTATAGAGTTAAAAGTGCCATCAGTATTTAGATCACATTTTTTTGGTTTATCTGGTTTTTTCTGGCAACTTGGAATCATAAATAAAATGCAACTAGCAATTACTACTTTCTTTGAAGAGAGTCATGCTCTTTCCATGCTCAGTATTTTCTCAGCCCACCTTCTACAAAATGCGTGTTTACAATTATGTTGTTAAGAGGTAGAGCAAACATTCATTAAAATGAAATTATATACATTTTTAGCCTACCTAAAGAATTTTGTAGGGCAGAAAGTTCACTTAAAATGAACAAGACTTTTTCAGAATTTATATGATCATATAACGCCATATAATAGACAAAATTTGATGCAACAAGTTGATGTAAAATATCACTTAAAGAAAGGTCATAATCCCTAGAACAATCTTCAGAAATATAAACATACACTGAATTGTCTCCTGCCTACATCTTTTGGTGCTTTTTAATGAAAATCCTAAGCTTACTTATAACAACCCTTGGAAATTGATCTCAGAAGACCACAGTTTGTACAGTATGTAATTTATAGCATATAGTAAGTCACAAAATGAACTGCTCAGTCTTTCAAGTACAGCAAACCTGAGGCCATTAGGTCTCAGCTACTGCTTGTTACTACTAAAAAAAGAAAATAATCAGTGCCTTCTCTTATAGTTACGTAGGTGACTTAGACATCAAAGAGATGGAGGTCCTTCTAAGTAATAGTAATGGTTATGCCTACCCCAATTCACACCGTATTTCCATAACACCAGGTTATCTGAAACTAACACACTGTTCCTTTACCAACTTTGTTTTGCCTAAAATGAAAGTCTTGTTAAATTGAATTTGTTCCTCAGATGTATGTGCTGGTGCTCTCCAAATACAATTTATTACTAGGATTACATGAGTCAATAAAGACACATTAGGTTTGAGCAAGTGAGTCAGTATAGCACTTGTGGAAGAAAGAAATAATAACAAAAAAATGTAAAAAAAGAACAAAATCAAGAACTAGTAGGAACATCAATGCTCATCAATGGTAGTATACCATACTATACAAGAGATGCAGATTATATGGGAGAGTAATCACTCAGCCCCCTGAGCTGGAAGACA